TGGCAACAGTTTTGTTGGAATGAAGGTCTCATCTTTGGTTTTGAGTACCTTTGTATGTTGGCCATGCAAACAATATCTTGGGGGCACTGTCTATGGTGTCTATGGTGTAATTGAAGACAACTAGAGGCCATGTGTCGAAGAAAGTTAGAAAAGCATATTGTGCTGGACAATAACATTGTAGCTCTAGTCAATCATCAATGACATGAAATGAAAAATCTTCATAACTTTATTCATGATGGAATACTGAAATGATGGAAACATCATATCAAAGATCTTTGTCAATCTTAGATGTTTCTAACAAAAAAATGCTAGTATTTAAAGTAAATTGTCAATCTTCATCTTTTGTATATCCGCAATTCACTTAACAGAGTGAGGTAGATGAGGAGACAGTTACTCACTTCTTTCATCACCTTTACTTCTGAAGGCTTATTGGTGATGCGTATGAACTAGATAGCTCTTTTCTGATGCAGGGGATGTTTTTAAGGACCTTGTTGGAAGTGCTTACTATGTAGCGCCGGAAGTATTGCGCCGACATTATGGACCTGAAGCTGATATTTGGAGTGCTGGGGTGATTCTTTACATTCTGCTAAGCGGAGTCCCACCGTTCTATGGAGGTACTACTATTGTTTCTTATGTTGGTTAGCTGCTCCTCATGATGATATACTATGAGCCATATCCTTTTCTGTGAGTTGGAAACTTTTGAAGTTTGAACATTTCAATAATTTCCAGTTGAGCATATACATAAAATAAGGGCTGATTTTCAATGAACACTGCTCAGTGGTGGATGAGTGAGAGGGTCCCTCATCTCTGCTTTTGGTTTTGTATGCAGAAACTGAACAGAGTATCTTTGATTCTATTCTTCGGGGAAATATTGATTTCTCATCAGATCCATGGCCCTCTGTTTCCAGCAGTGCCAAAGATCTTGTGAGGAAGATGCTAAGAGATGATCCTAAAGAACGGCTTTCAGCATCTGAAGTCTTAAGTAAGTTATTTTATTGTTTTTTAATTCTAGTTAATGACTGTTGTGTCCTATTGTGAAGGATAAGGAAGTTAAAAAGCCTTGGACTTGAAACTGTCAAGTTGGCTGTCAAATTCATATTTAGAATTTTTGTTTGCCTCTCTTCAAATTTTGCTTCAAGTTTCTTGTCAGTTCTGTAAATAAGAAATAAAGCTTCACTTATAAATTGCATTGCAGATCATCCATGGATGCGTGAAGATGGTGATGCATCTGATAAGCCTCTTGATATTGCTGTTTTAACTAGAATGAAACAATTCAGGGCAATGAACAAACTCAAAAAAGTTGCTCTAAAGGTGAATGCTTTCTCTATTTCTATTATGAAATATTAATATTTAAGCTACAAAATTTGTGAATGTGAAAAGAAGATAATATAATGTGGATGAGCTGATGAGGTGTTTTGACCTAGAAGTTTTGCAAGCTGAGAATAAAAAGTAATGTATTGAAGATCCATCTTCAAGAGAACAAGCTAAAAATGGTTGTGTTAAGCTGATATGCCTCTTTTTTAAAATGAAAAATGCTCTTCTTTGGTTGACCTAGTAGCTCAAGTGCATTGTGCTTGTAATATAAATATGAAAGATCAGTCATCTTTTCAAGTATTTGTAGGTATCTCTAGGGGCCTTAGCATCAAAGACTTAATTGTCTATTGCTAGCCATTAGTTGATGCAATGTGGCAAGATAGTTGTCACCTTTATCCATTATTATTTATTTCTTTCTTTGTCTCCTTTCAGGTAATTGCAGAAAATCTATCTGAAGAAGAAATTATAGGTTTGAAGGAAATGTTCAAATCTATGGACACTGATAACAGTGGAACAATCACCTATGAGGAGTTAAAAGCTGGCCTTCCTAAACTCGGTACCAAGCTTTCTGAGTCTGAAGTGAGGCAGTTAATGGAAGCAGTATGTCTTGGTCCTTTTATATTAATCCTGCCTGATAATCACTGTACTTTTAAAGAATTTACTTAAACTCCAATCTAATGATGCACAATGAATGTTTGGATGGGACAACACTCCTTGTAGAACCTTGGTCATCACTACTAGTGTTAAGTACTATTAGCTTTGTGCAATTTCAAGTTCCGTGCTTCTATTTTTGGTTGAATAAATAGGAGCCTCTAGGACTGGGGAATGATGTAGAAATTGATATTTACAAGGGAACTAATGCTTAGTGAGGCCATCATGAACCTTTTCATCACATTATATAATGCTAAATAAATGACAAGATAAGGATCACACACGTTGGAGACCTGTAAGCACTCCCTCAAGCCAACCTGAACTCATAGTCTAACTCTAACTGCCAAACATGCTTTTGGAAGCCTTAATTTTTGCAGTTAGCTATAGTGGAACCTGAAAGCTACTCAAAACTCGGTGTTGAGTGATGAAAGATGAGTATGCCCTCCAGGTGACTGGCTTAGTGGTTTCTCATGATGAGAGTTTATCTATATTCTAGTTTATCGCTAAGCTAATATATAATGTTACTTATGTCATTTTATGTTTTGCAACACACCATCTCAGCATCTAATCATGGTTTTGTTCTATGAATGTGCTATTTCTTGATTAACATGCATTCTGCTGGAATCTTAATCACAGACAATAGCTGAAAAAAGTGTAGATGAGTACTGTGTTTTCATGTGCTACCTGAAATATATCAAACGTATGTGTAAATCTTATTTTGCAAAACATTCTTCATAACTTGCTATGGTATATAACCTGCTTGTTACTTCCCCAGGCTGACGTTGATGGAAATGGAACAATTGATTACATTGAGTTTATAACAGCTACTATGCACATGAATAGAATGGAAAGAGAAGAACATTTATACACTGCCTTCCAATACTTTGACAAGGACAATAGCGGGTAATCAGTCTTACCATTTTGTTATATTATATTACTATTTGTGATGACTGAGCATATTTGTTTGCTACTTAATTTAGGTACATTACAATGGAAGAGCTAGAACAGGCCCTTAGGAAGTATAATATGGGTGATGAGAAAACAATAAAAGAGATCATTGCAGAAGTTGACACGGACAGGGTATACTTCTTCCTCTTTAGAGACGAGTATCTTTTCTTATCCCTTTTCAGATGCTATTCTTTTTTATTTATATATATTTACTCTTCAAACACACTTAACTCTGGCAAATAGTGAATCCATATAAATGAAAATGTTGCAGTTCGGGTATCGAATTACATTCTAGTTGTTATTGAGATAACCGAAACCTATTGTTTTTCTTGATCATTGTTATTGCATCTTCATATTTGATGTATTACCATGTTCTTCCTGCAGGATGGAAGAATCAACTATGATGAGTTTGTTGCCATGATGAGAAAAGGCAACCCAGACTTGGTTGGTAATCGACGACGCAAGTAAGCTGAATGCAGCTCGCATGTCTACTGGCTCAATTTCATTTCTTGACTGGTTTGTTAATTCATATGGTTTTGTTAAGACCACAATCACGTGCTGATCTCTGTTTCACCACCTGGGATTGCGAGATAGTCCTTGCTTTCTGAAATCAGTAGTGGCTTGTCTATGCCTGCCCTTTGCAACAGAAATGAACTTGATTGCCATCAAACTGCCGGAGAGTGTAATTATATTGAGTTTTGGAAGATTTCTTTGGTTGAATACGTGAGTGCAAAATTAATATTAACCTAAACCTTCCTCAAGACGGGTTGCGGATTACAAGAGGGAGTATGATTTTTAGTTTTTACTTTGCTTGTACATTGTGCTATTGCTAGAAGGTGGCAGATGCATCGTGTAAATGAGCACAGTCCGTTGGTCATTTAGCCGGTAGATACTGACACTTTTGGTAAATGGCGCAAATCCTCTGCTTGTGGGTGCTACAGCTTGTAACTGAATGAACTCTAGCAGATGCAAAGGTTCAAGCAGTTGATTTATTATGCTGCTTAGGAATCTGACATTCTAATGTTAGTGAGTTTTTATACAAAAGTGGCTTTTTCATTTGGAATTTTACTCTGTTTCTATTCAGGTGGAGTCGTGTCCAGCCTTCATTTCTTTTCAATTAAAGTTTTGAACTTTTTCTACTTTCTCCTTTATTGCTATTCAAACAAATCCCCCCTCATTAGTTCACTCTGTCAAGGAACACAAAGGTGGAAAGGGCCCGTGGGGGGGCAGCATAGACTTTCTGTTGTCCCTTCCATTTCAAGATATTTGAACCGAATGTCTTGTGTATTGAGCAGGACACACATAGAAGAAAAAACAAGCCCATCGATAAACAATCATGGCTGCTGGTTTTGACCAACAGATTTACATAGTTTCGAACATTCTGATTCATAAACTAACCGTAGAAAGCAAGAAAAATACAGACCTCCCAAGGTCGAAGCTGGAGAACCTGGAAGTTTTTGAGTGGTCGGGTGTCATTTAAAATCGTTTTTAAGACAATATATGTCCTTGTTATATGTATAAAAAAGACATGTTTCTCATTATCATCTCTAACCGTTTGTCACTCTCTACACGTCGTTGATGAATTATTGGAGATGGATGCCCACAGCTAAGAAAACTTTGACATTTAAATAATAAATACAGACTATCCTTGTCTTAAAGTTTCACCTGTTAAAAATATTAGACATAGAATGACCCGATTATTTTATTTGCTTATTACAAAATAAAAAAAAAGGGGTAACTGTATGATCTTTCAAAATCTATTTTTTATTTTACTTTTTTGGGTTTTTTTCTGTCGATTTTTCCTGCTAAAGTAGCGGGGTCTAGTTTAGGAAAATCCAAATGAGATCTAAACAACCATCATAATACAAATGAGGAGATAACTATGGATACATTCCGAGTCACAACTCTTACAAAACAAAACTGAAACAAAATAAAAAAACACACCCGCGAGATTTGGATCAGTCTGGTACAACTTTAAACAACGTTTTGCAGATTCAACAATTCAGTACAATCCCACATGTAATTAGAAAACTCTTGTCCCCCTCACCCCCCCTTCTTTTTCGTTTTTCCCTTTTAGGGGTTTTTAACAAACGCATACAGAGCAGGAGATTCTATACAGCAAAAGCTTGCAAATTATGGTAAGTGTCTGAAACTAAAAGCCCCCTACTTCCTGCTTGTTTCTCAACAAAACGTTTAGAGAAAACCAATTTTAGGCTTTTTATGAGGAACCCATTTAAGAGTTTGTTGTGATTTTCATAGAAGTTTTAACTTTTATTTTCGGGCTCACTTTAAACAATGTGAAGGCTGTTGCCTTTAAATTTAAGCGATCAACTTGATTCATCTTTCAAAAGAAAAGGCGATCAACTTGATTTACTGTAGAAATTTGAAAGTCAATGAAGTCGATGTGGGATTTTATGAATGTTTTTAATTGATCATCAATGGAAGTTGATCTTGTAGCAATCAATGAACAAACCATCTTCTAATCAGTATGTTGTCACATGGGTCGACTGTGTTTAAATACTTGAAATTCATGCAATCTGTTTTGTCTTCAAAGCAGGTTGACAGAAGATATCAATGCAAAGAAGTGCTACTCTTAGCTTATCAGAGTTTTGGTGTACTCTTTGGTGACCTGAGCATTTCACCCCTTTATGTCTATAAAAGTACATTCTCCGGGAAGTTGAGTAATTACCAAACTGAAGATGTTATATTTGGGGCGTTCTCCTTGATATTTTGGACTTTCACACTTCTGTCCTTGTTCAAACATGTCATTATTTTGTTAAATACAGATGATAATGGTGAAGGTAAGGCTTGACTTCTTGATCGGCTTTTCAATGTTATGAATGTATGGTTAATTAGTGATAAACTTTTGGGGCCATTTTCAGGAGGAATTTTTGCTTTATACTCTCTCCTTTGTAGGCATGCAAAATTTTCTTTACTTCCCAATCATCAAGCGGCAGATGAAGAGCTTTCTACATATCACGGTCCGCGTTACTCAAGCAGAAATCTGCAGTCATCATCAGTCAAAAAGGTTGCTGAAAGGCATAAAAAGTTGAAAACTGCTTTGCTGCTTCTAGTTTTGTTTGGTACTTCCCTGGTTGTTTGTGTGGGCTTCCTGACACCGGCAATGTCCAGTATGTGGTTTAAACTGTTGATTTCATTCATCTCTTCACATTTCCTAGTGCCAGTCATCAATTATTTACAAATAGTTATTATTTGCAATTTTCAGTTCGTTCATCAATTGAAGGGCTGAAAGTTCGATCAAACAATCTGCATTATGGTAAGTACAACTGTCTGGGGAAAAAATTGATCTTTAACCTGTTCGCATGCTCTTGATGTCTTTATGGAATCGGTTAGTGCATATGAAGTTCAAATAAATGATTGTCTTGATATCAAGCTGATTACCTACAACAAAGATTATATTGGAAAGTTATGACTCATAAACAGGACAGGACCTAGCCTTAGTTCCTTCTAGCATTGTAAATAAATATGTTGCTATATAGAAAGAAACTGTGATGGGTTATGCCTTCTTTTCTCCTTCCATATTCAAATGTTTTCCATCATAGCTTTATATATTACTGTTTAAGCTGCTAACAATTTTGTCTATACCCAGGTGTGGTGGTTGTCATAGCCTGTATTCTGTTGGTTGGCCTGTTTGTTTTGCAGCACCGTGGCACCTACAGGGTGGCCTTCATGTTTGCCCCTATAGTGATTTTTTGGTCAGTGTGCATTGCAGCTATTGGTCTCTACAATATCATTAAGTGGAATCCAAGAATTTATGAGGCCCTTTCTCCGTATTATATTTACAAATTCTTTAGAGACACTGGACGTGATGGTTGGATTTCACTTGGAGGAGTGCTTTTGTGTATCACTGGTAAATCTGAGATTTGGGGATTCAATAGAAGTTCAATTTACCAGTACCCATGTTTTCTAGATTCATGCATGCCTTTCTTGTCAACTACAGGAACTGAAGCTTTGTTTGCAGACCTTGGCCAATACACAGCTGCATCGATAAGGGTATGTGAACCAACTGTGAGGATTTAATGCATTTAAAGCTTCTTAGTTGGCATAATTAAAATTTAAGAGCTTTTGAGGAAAAAATTTATTCAGGCTTTGGTTCTTCCCATAGTGGAAAGAAGGAAATCTTTTTTGTAAAAGCATAACCAGAATATTCTGTAAGTGTTCATTACTGAACCAACTGTAGGGTTTGTGAGCATATGTTGTAATTTCATCCTTGCTAACGTGAACGGAGGAGGATAGGCAGAGGGAATTTAAGCCTGTGGTCCATTTTCTTGAGTAATTCTATTGTCCCAATGTCACATAACTGCATAACCCACTTTGATATTCAATGTCACAGTCCCTTTTGAGGAAGAGGATTAACTTGCTACGGTCCTTGAATGGTCCAGTATTCAAATACCAAATGCATCATTTTTTATTGGGAAAGTTGCAGGCTTCCTGCTAATTGGAATGATTAAAGTTGTCACTTAGGAAACTTGGCCTCATGGTCTTAAGTTGTGGCTGTGTAAAGTGTAAACCATGTCATGCATATAAATAAAAAAGGAGGCAAAAGGGAAATTTTGGTGTTAATCCCTTTCTCATTTTGTATATGTTTGTCAAATAGGAAAGAGATTCACTTTTTTCCATGATCTGTGGTAGAGCTATTTTTACTTGTTTTAAAGATTGAAGTTCATGCTTCTGTCTTACGTTGCTTTTATCAACCTCAGCCCTTTTGGAGTTTATGCATTCTATTATTGATGCAAGATTAATAGGTCTGATTGGTTTTTAATGTATAGTTAATTTGTTGGTTTAATTTAAGTGCTTCTCATATAATTGTTTCTGTTGTTTGAGAAAAACTCTAAAGGCTTGTTTCTATATGCAGCTATCCTTTTGTGGCATAATTTACCCATGCCTAGTGCTCCAATACATGGGGCAGGCTGCTTTTCTTTCAAAGAATTTTGCTGCAGTATCCACAAGCTTTTACGCTTCCATTCCAGGTAAGCTTCTGGATTCCTCTAGTTTTATTGTTTTTACTTTCTAAATCAGGGTTATCATTCCTATTTAAAATATGTTTAAAGGATTTCTAGGCAGTTATAGTTTAGGAAGTTCTAAACACAGTCTAAAAGACCAAAATATTAATCAGATGTGAATACGTTGTTCCGGTTGCACCTTCTGCAACGTGATTGGTCAATGCACTGTGAGGTTTATATATTATTGTTACAATGTCTCCATAAATATATATTCTTTAAGACTTGTCGTCATAAAGCTCAACTAGAATTTCTGGCCTGTCGACCATTCTAATTCTTGTACTGAAGCACTGTTAAACAAGAATGATTTATGGCCTTCTCCTAGAGTCACTTCAAGATTTATTACCTTTTGCAATTTATTATTGTTTACAGAATATTCTTGCCATGTCTGTAGATTCCTTGTTTTGGCCAGTTCTTTTGCTCGCAACTTTAGCTGCAATGGTTGCTAGCCAGTCCGTAATCTCTGCGACGTTCTCTATTGTCAAACAATGCTATGCCATAGGATGTTTCCCTCGTGTCAAAATTGTACATAAATCCAAATGGTTCCGTGGTCAGATATACATTCCAGAGATCAATTGGGTCCTTCTGATTCTCAGCCTGGCTGTCATGATTGGTTTTAGAGACATAAATCATTTGGGGAATGCTTATGGTAAGTCATATTCATTCAAAAGGATTCTCTGGAATTTTGGATTAAAAAGTTACACATTTGTTCGTCTGCTTCAACTGATATTAGATTTGTATTCTCTGGTACTGATTAAGTTGTTCACTGGACATAACAATTAACCGTGTATGTTTCATTGAGAATATTGGATTTTCTGGCATCTAGAGATCACTTAAGTCAATACATAGGGTGCTAGGCAAGTTGCATGACCAACATTGGATAGGATGAAGGTAGGGAAGCTACTCTAATCAGTGTATATCACACTTCAAAGATGGGTACATGTACTTGTTAAATTGAGTTCATAGTTGAGAAAATTATATTTCATAGGGTCTTGAAAAATCATTTATGTTTATAGTCAATGGTATTAGACATATACTTATGCAGGGTGCATAGTCTTCAAAAATGTTATAGCACAGGTCTAAACCTTAGTTTACTATGCTTTTTCTGTTGTCTTTCGATACATAATTTACTATGATTTTTCTATTAGTTAGATGTATCACTATGTTAGTTTAGACAGAAAAAATGGTAGGAAAATTTTATCTAGTTGGCTAGTGTTCTTGTTTGATTCAGCAACTGGTGGGTGATGAAGAATGCTTTGACATAATACATAATGTCTTTCCTCTTTATCTTTTCTATCTGAAAATATGGTTAATATCTTAATTCAGGACTTGCCTGCATGTCTGCAACATTTGTGACAACGTGGTTGACAGCTTTGGTCATTAATTTTGTCTGGCATCAGAGTCTTCTGCTTGCCCTTCTATTTGTCATCTTCTTTGGGTTAGTTGAGATCATCTTCCTATCATCATCTTGTGTAAAAATCCCTAAAGGTGGATGGGTTCCTCTCATGCTCTCTGTTATCTTCATGCTTATTATGTATGTGTGGCATTATGGCGCTAGGAAGAAGTATTTATACGATCTACATAACAAAGTATCCATGAGATGGATCCTCACGCTGGGTCCTAGTCTTGGAATTGTTAGAGTCCCAGGGATAGGCCTTATATTCACTGAGTTGGTTAGTGGAGTTCCAGCCTCATTTACCCATTTTTTAACCAATCTACCGGCATTCTATCAAGTGGTTGTCTTTGTTTGTGAGAAGACTGTTCCTGTACCATATGTCCCTCAGAAAGAACGGTATCTCATTGGCCGTATCGGTCCCAAATCTTTCCGAATGTACCGCTGCATTGCTCGAAATGGTTACAAAGATGTGCAAAAAAATGAAGATGATTTTGAGAATGAACTTGTCATGAGCATAGCAGAGTTTATCCAACTAGAAGCTGAAGGTTGTGGAACTGTTGATGGATCTTTGGATGGCCGACTGGCTGTTGTTAGGACATCTGAAAAGTTTGGCAAAAGGTTGGAAATGTCAGAACCCGAGAGCAATGGAGAAGGTAGCAGTTCAACATCCACTGCCTTGTTGAATAGCAGCAAGTCACACACATTGCAGTACCTGCAGTCCACATATGAGCTGGAATCACCCCGGTTCAGCCTAAGGCGGCGTATTCGATTTAAGTTGCAAGACATGAAATATAAGGATCCAAATGTCAAGGAAGAGCTCTTGGAGCTAGTGGAAGCAAAGCATTCTGGGGTTGCATATGTATTAGGTCACTCCCATATAAAGGCAAAATGGAATGCCCCATTCTTGAAGAGATTCGTAATCCACGTTGCCTACTCTTTCTTACGGAAAAACTGCAGGGCTCCGGCCGTGGTCTTGAACATCCCTCATACTTGTTTGATTGAGGTTGGTATGAACTACTATTTGTAGAACTTTTTGCTCAATCTTTTTCCCTTTTTTGCTATTGTTGAAGTCGAGTAGTTGTGGATTCAAGTTGTTAATGGTAGCTGAGATACATTTTTGAACAATGGGTTATGGAGTTGATCCTTACTTTGGTGTTACCCAGAAGAGCTACAACCACCTGCAAGGTCTTCATACTTGGAACAGTCTCCTGTTTTGTATTTTCCTAACTATCCTTCTATCTTGTACATAACATTTTAAGTTTTGATTGTATCTACAAATATGGAAATTCTTTTCTCCATCTTGTCGTTAGCTTCTTCAAACAATTTGCCTTCTGGTGGAGTGTGGTTCTCCAATTTTCATTTTCTTTTTATTATTTATTAATAAATGATTATTTACAAATGCATCTTTTAGTCAAATTTAATTAAAATTATAATATTAATTTTTTTATAAAATCTATATTATTGTGTATTTGAATAAAACATAAAAAATCTTAAAATTTAAAACATATTAAATCTAATACAAAAAAGTACAACCAAAGCTTCTGTTAAACTATAAAAAAAAAAACCTCAAATGTTAAAAAAAATAGTTATTTTTTTCTTTGAATTATAAGAATCAATTTGATTTGCCATTCAAATTTTAAGAAGAAAATTAAATAATTTTTTTTTAACAAGATGATTTATATACTTAAATTGATGAAAATGATAATAAAAGAAATATTTATATTTGATGTAAAGTTGGTGTATGTTATCACTTAATCACATAATGTCAATTTATAAATATATAAAAATAATCATTTAAAAATGAATATTGATTTTCAAAATTTTTATTTATTAATAAAATGACAATATTAAATAAATTATATAAATTCATAAAAAATTTCATTATAATATTAAAAGTAAAAAAAAATTAATAAATTACTTTAAATTGTAAGAACTAAAATAATATACTATCAAATTTTAAGGACCACGTATAATTTCTTCCAATTAATTACACCAACCACTACAAAAATTATACAAATTATTTTTTTTTCCCATTTCCCGGAACTATCACTGAAAGCAAAATGAATTCCTCGTTTCCAAACACCCCTTAAATTCTCTGCCGAAAAAAATCAACTAGGAAGAAACTGGGAAGTAGCTTCCTCCACAAAAACTCAAAACCCAAATGCACAAATTAGGGTTTTTGATTTTCAATTCCTAAATTACATGTAAATTTTGTTCCTTTTTAATGCAAGTTATTGGCGCTCTTGAAATTAGGGCCTTATGTTGAGCTCCTATTGCTCGCACTCTCTCGCTCAGCGCCCAACTCTTGCATCTTCCCTCCCCAAATTTCGGTTTGCGAACCGACCCGGCACCTTTTCTTTGACCCGGAGCTCCCGGATCTTTGAATCCAAGCCTAAGCTCGCAAAGAACGTAAGTATAAATGCAAAAGCATTTTTTTGTTTCCACCTTTTTTCCTGTTTTTAAATTTCCTTTTTATGTTAAATTTTGGTTTTTGAGAACCTGAAGTTTAACTTTGCGATGGGTTATGTTTTGTTGCTAAAAAAATGGAGGAAATGTTAAGTGGAAGTCAAAAATTGGAAAAAAAATTAATCCATTTAAGCCTGTCTTGGTTAATTTGATATTTACCTTAATGAAAATTTTGTTTATTATTTGGTTTCTGACCCTGAAGCTGAATTATAGTTGGTTTGGTTCTGACTGGTTGCTGAGAAAATGGAGGAAAAAGAAAAGAGAAAATTATGTACCGGAAACTTGATTTAATCTACTTAGGCCATGATAAATCTAGAAAGTTAGTAGCTCTATTAATTGGTTGAGTTTTAGAGTTCAATTTGAATATGTCCTTTGTTGTGATAATGTTCATGAAATTTATCCTACCTATACTATTGGTTTACAGTCATTTCTGGTTTTTTATTTTTTTCTAATTTGCAGAAGTGGAAAATTTCATGCTTTAGGCATGAGGGGTTCTCCCCAGAAAACCCAAAATCTGAATATGTTGAACAGTTTCTGCCTGAAGAAGTGGTACAACATGATTTTGATAAGTCTAGTGCTCGCAAAAGAGATTGGAAATCAACTCTTCAGGAGGTAATATTTTCCTTGAATTCAGTTCAATGTGTTGGACCTCAGATTTTTATTTGTTTATGTATGCGATAGATTGTACTTTTATTTTTAATCTGTATGTTCACTATCAGTCATTGGTTGATCGCTGCATCTATTAGCAACCTGTCTCCACATAGGCTGGACTGTCAATTTAATTAACTAAAGTTTAGTCTGAGATTGTATTTATGACAGAATTTGAGTTGTGCTGTTTGTCCTAAGTGAACTTTCTGGCAAAGTTCTGATGAGAATAAGTTATATAGGATATCTTGCTCACTGCCGTATGGCTCTTGGCATGTGAACTAGGTGATTTTAGATCATTGGAAGTGATGAGTTAGTTTCTGTAGTGGGATTCTCTGCCTGTGAGTCAATGGATCTATTAACCAACCTGTTGAGTATCTTAGCTTACAAACTGAAACTGTACTGATATAAGGAGCAAATGGTTTTGAATGACCAGCAAACTGATATGGTTGTGTGCACAGTCCATCTATGAAGAACACAGGCTATACACAGATATGCTACAGGTTACTAGTAATTTTACAAGAAAAAAGATGAAATGTACCTTCAACTTGTATAATGTTGGAGATCCTACTTCTCTCATTCTTTCATATTAAGTAAAAAAATAAGGATTTAGACATCTATGATTTTTCACTTCTGTCTTGTTTTTTAAAATCGAAATGTACAGTTAATGCAGATAAGATTATAGTTGCAAGGGATATAAATTAACATAGTGTAGAATTGTCAAATATGTAAACATGTTTGCTAATCTCTATACATTTTCTTTCTTTTTTTTTTCCTTTTAATTTTATAGGGAAAATGATAAATTTAGTTGATTGTGATGTAGGCTGCAGATGCGGTCTTGAGGGCAGTTGGTAGTGGGTGGACTGTACCATGGACAGCAGAGACCATTCTGCAGGTTAGTTTATTTTACTTGTTTGTAGTAATATATTTTGCATCTGCAACTAGCTTCTTAGCTTTTATCAATGTTAAGCATATTTTGTCAATTGATTATGCAGAAATAAGCTGCTTAATAAGGTCCATGAACTCTAAGAATGAGTGTCCTGTGTCGCAAAGCTGCCTACCGGGAGCTGCAGGAGATGCAGTGGATTCAAATCCATTCTCTTGAGCCCTAAATGAATCTAGGAGAGAAAAGAAATTTAGAGAATTTGTCTCACATCCTTCCTTACTTGTCATTGGTTGTAGGTTCAATATCTACCGGTAGATCACAGCTGAACAGGAATAATATCTTTGTTTATTGTTTTATGTTTGATATAATTCATAATTGTTTGGCCAGGAGATAGGAATGAAAATTAAATTTCAGTAAAGAAGTGGAAGCATATTTGATAATAGGTTAAAATCATAGATCTGACGCTAGATGTTGTCATTAAACAGTCATCCTTCTTAGCATTTTAAGACTTAAAACTATAACAAAGGATGGAACTGTAGGAACGGCATCTTGTTCAACAATCTAATTGAAACTTGGATGAATTACAAATACATGAATTGATTGTATGATAATATTTTATTTGCTGACACAGGTTATGCTTCTCTGGGTAGCTGCTTTCTGGTTCATTGGGTCCTGGATGATTCCCTTTGCAGCTCACATGGCAGGGTTCAGCAAGGAATCTCTAACATTCAGAGGACAAGCCTTGTTCAGCCTTGTGACTGACATAACTGAAGGCCTTGCTGGGATTGCAATACTCCATCGCTGTCTGTCTCAGTTTCATCCCCTTCCATCAGATTGGTTTAAATTTAGCTTGAGAGGGAAGTGGCTTTTTGATGTTGTGCTAGGATGCCTCATGTTTCCTGTTGTCAACCGATTATCACAGTTCAACCTCAACTTGTTGCCACTTATGCCTTCTACACCTGTAACCCTTTCAAGTGTTGAGCAGTCAATTTTAGCAAGGGATCCAGTAGCCATGGCACTATATGCGATTGTAGTTTCAGTTTGTGCTCCTGTATGGGAGGAGATAGTTTTCCGTGGTTTTCTTCTCCCTTCCTTGACCAAATACATGCCTGTATGGTGTGCAATACTGGTGAGTTCAGTTGCCTTTGCTCTGGCACATTTTAATGTACAGAGAATGCTACCTCTTATTTTCCTGGGAATGGTGATGGGTGTTGTTTTTGCACGGTCAAGGAATCTATTACCATCTATGCTTCTGCACAGCCTCTGGAATGGTTTTGTGTTCTTGGATTTAATGAGATAAGCATCGTTGTCTTCTCATATAAGCCTGTTGTGGGTTGATCATATTTAGGGAAGCATAGGCTTCAGGTCAATTTTCTGTGGTATGCTTCTTGCAAGGGTTTTGAGCATATTCTCGTTCATGGGCAAGCTACTTCATTGTATCTGCAACACAATTGAATGCCTAGAAAATTTGTACAGGTCCTCCAACTGAACGCAAGAAGTAACACGCATGCTGATAGGCCATTCAGTTGATCCAGCATAGCTTAAGAGAATTGCTCCACAGTTTCTGTTTATCTTTGATTATACCAGGGACAGCAACAGCAACAAGGAAAATGAAGATTATATCTCCATTTTGGCCAAAGGCAATCTCCCATCTTGCAATTGTAGAACTTCATGTTTTAATTTGTTAGATGAGGACTTCTCTCTCTCTTTATGGTAAATAGTAATCCTTGCCTTTCCATTGTTGCTGGCTATGTTCAAAATGAAACGTGAATCTGACCCACTTCCAGGCCAAAGGCGAATAAATACTCAATCAGATTATATTTTAATAAAAGGGTCTTAAAATTTTCTCATTTAAAAAAAATGCTCTTAATTTATAAAAGATGCTTCAATCTTCAGAGTGCATGCTTTCTGCTTTGAAAAGAATCAAAATAGATCCATGCGCCTTCCTTCCATCATCAGTACAGGCATGGAGATTCTCCTTTAGATTCTAAATAATTTGCCATAACTACTTTTGCCCTAACATTTCCTTTTCAATAATTATATAATGCTTTTGCGATAACGTTTCATTCTCTCTTTCTTACACAATTGATCCTTCTTAGTGTCAATAATGATACCCACAAATTAACTATCAAAACCCATTATAGAGGACGCATGTGACTGTCAGAGTGGTTTGATGACAAAAAGAAACAGGTTAGCTTTTGCAGCATATCCTCACTCCTGGGGAGATTGCTTTCAGATTCATGGTACAGCTTTAGTGGGGGACGCACATTGATCGATCTCTTATGTGCATGGTCGAGCACTGTATAAAAATCGAATGTTGCACTGCAGCTGATATTGTCACACCTTTGTCTTATTCTTCCATTGATGTTCCTTGTTTTTGTTACTTAAAAAGACTTGTAGTGAAAATAATTGTCATAAAGTTGCAACATAAAAAGACACTTTTAGATGAAAATCTCAATTTACCAACCACACTTTAGATTCAAGTTCAATGCTGCATTTGCTCATCCTTTCCTAAAGTCATTCCTAGGTCTAAGCCTCAGGGTTAGACCAGGCCAATGGTGCAGACGTGAGAAAGTACCCAAAATACCAGACATTGGTATGATTGTAATGGTGAGAATAGTTGGTTCCTGTCTACATCTTTTTTCAGGTCCACTTTCACAAAATTTATTGTACGTGCTTCTCTACTACTTTTTCTAAACCAAATCTTCAAAATATAAAGCTTCATCATCTCATAGAAAGTTGCCCAGGTAGATACAAAAAAACTTTTTCTATTCGAATTTGTTTTCCAAAATCCAAACCAGCTCATATCAGAATGATTTGATTTGGCACTCTTTTGTCCCTCCTGATCCATTTACATATCATGGCCCTGCGTGTATCCCAAACAGTCCATTGATAATTGCCCTTTGTAAAGTTGTGAATAAACACCCCAAAACAAAATGATAAAAGTTAAAAGCACTGTTTCTTTTGTTTTGTTTTCCAGGAAGGTAAAGGTACAGTCTGTGGCAAGCTTGATTGGATAAAGTTAAGAAAGGTTTCGTCAAGTGGAAGGCAGAGCCCGAGCCAACTTAGACCTGCGGGGATGCGAAAGTCAAGGTTTCGTAGTTGGGTGGCAGATGCCGCAGAACCAAGTTGCAAGCACACACAGCCCAATTCGGGGTGGGGTGTTCCTTTAAAATCCATCAGCTTCGTCTCCCATACATGCTTTTCTTCTTTACTTGGTCGAAAAGGTACTGCTGCTGTTTCCTGTGTGCGTAGTTGTCTCGTGCAGTTACTGCTGTAGATAAGTGGATCATCTGCCTTGAACTCTGAAGCCTGAAGCAAGACTTTTTGGCAGTGTTATTTACAGATACAATGCTTCACTTAAAATTTCTCCCACTTGATTCTGTGCCCATGCGGCCATACCTCGATATCATAGTTGCTGCTCCTCACTCCCTATGAACCCTCCCGTCTTGGGAAAATGGAAATTCACAGTTGCAACTTGCAACAGTTGCACCAAATGCAATCAGTGTTCTCTGTCGCTCGTTAGTATAACTTCAACTAGCATCACAAATCTAGCCTATTATACAAGACGTTAAGCACATAATCCGAAGAAGATTCAAGCAGAAAAGTTTACTTTTAAAGATAAAAACTCTTTCGACGCTATATGCTAAGGGAGCACAGCACAGTGACTAATTGTAAATGCAGTATGAAATGTTATTTTTATTACTAACTTCATTAGAAATCTGAGCCGCCCAATAGCTTGATCGGGAGGGTCCCACCAGTTCTTGATTAATCACGACGTTTATAGTAATCGGAGAGGATCCTGAAATCATGCAAGCCTTATCTGATTACTACACTTGGGCGACAGCATTAGGCGACGGTTTTGTCCCATGCAGATTTCCTTCGTAATCTTGCGCCAAGTAGTCCTGCAAAAAAAAAAAAAAATTAAAAACTGTTTATTTAAAACTGTGAAACCGAACCGTAAACCGTCAAAATAGTGCCACGTAAGCGTATTTCTGATTACTCATCAATTCTCTCTCCTCTGATTTTCTCTTTAAAAACTTAAAAAGAACGAGAGGGACTCCAGAAATAGCGGGAACCGACTTCACCACCGTTCCTCTGTCGCCGTTCTCCGTCTTTAGCCGCCACTTTTTCTTCCCCTTTCCGGTGACGATTTGGTGTCAAAACATCCGCTTCTTTCGCTTCATTCAAATTGGCCACGGAAGATCACCATTCAATTATTAGAAACCAAAAAAAAAAGGTATGTACGTACTAAGTGTGAGACAGAGGAAATATCGCAGATATTGAAGGATTTTCATTTTGAGAGAAAAGAGAGAACTTTTGAAGAACAATCGAATTTATTTTCTCAGGAAACTAATCTTCGGGTTTTAAAAATCTTAGGCAAGCAATGGAACAAAAGCATATACTGTTGTCGGCGTTGAGTGTTGGGGTAGGCGTAGGGGTGGGGCTGGGGTTGGCTTCGGGTCAGAGCAAATGGACCGGAAGCGGTTCGTGTGCATCAACCGGCATCACTTTGGAGAGGATGGAGAAAGAATTGCTCCGCCAAATCGTCGATGGCAGAGAAAGCAAGGTCACCTTTGATCAGTTTCCCTACTACCTCAGGTGACGATACAATTTTCTCATCATGCGGTTATTATAATTCATTTTCTTCTTTGAAAAAGAAATTATTCTTATTATTTCCATATAACCAAAAAGAAAGTGTTTCAATTTAATGTTTAATTTTATTTTTATTTATTTATTTTGAACTTGTAAGGATCATAGTAATGAATTTCAAGTATTTTCTTTTCCTTCATATTTTAAGCAAACCAAACACAGCCTTATATCTATCTTTTGAAAAAGTTTCTGGAGATTTCGACTTGTTTGCCTGTTTGCCACGAGGCTTGCCTCGAGAATGAAGCATGTATTTCTGTGATATCATGGAGCTCAAACGTGTACGTTAATATATTCCAGCTATCTTCATTGTCATTCCCTCGATATGGAGCGTTTTATATAGTTTTGAGATTTGATGGGATGTTTCAATTTGTTGCATGCTTATGTTATGTCACACACACGCGCCTTTAATAATTGTGCAATTGTCCCATTTTGTTTTTCTGAAGATGGTGTTAGATTTAGGGTGTGACATTCACATGCTCTTCTTTTTTCTTGGGTTTTTAAATTGAATTCCTCAGTATGTGGCTCATGTCTCTGTATATTTGTCCATTTGTACATAACTAAATTAGATATTTTCTGCTTACTCAATATAGTATTATCTGGTAGTTTGCGAAACCCAAGATGAAGATTTATTATTCCCCTTCTTGGAAATAGTTGATCGTTTAAGGCTGAAGACAAATTGAACAAACAGGTTTCAAAGGCTAATAGGCTTAGACTCAATCAGGTTTCAATGGATAACTTTATGAATTATGAGTGTGCTTGATAAAATTAACAAATGCCCTGTTTTACTGAAGTTGATAACCGAAATCAAGGTGATGATGTATCTAATTTACAGAAGGGAGATAAAAGAAATGAAAAGCATGCTTTGAATGGTAGGATTGAATACTATGAGACTTGTAGCCAAGATGAGAACTGGAAACCTAATGCTAGGCCGCACCTTGCTAAAAAAGAAAAAAAAAGATTGTTCTTATGCTTAATTCCTTTCTCCCCCAAGTTAACTAAAACGCTGACTATGCATCCGGAGTGAATCTTGTGGTGAACTAGTGATATAAGCAAGGGCAAACATAGCAGGGTTTTGAACTAAAAGAGCTCTCTTGGCAAGAAAAGTAGAAAACAATTGAATGACCTCTATGAATGATAATATAAGCCATTTTTCAAGGCTTTAGACAGTGATAATTTTTTATTTGCTCGAATGATCTGCTAAATGTTTAAGTTGTCATCCCATAATCTAGTCCTGCTTGTTCTGACAACTTCACCATGTTGTTTTTGTTGGGCAGTGAGCAGACTCAAGCATTGCTAACTAGTGCTGCCTATGTCCACTTGAAACATGCTGATGTTTCCAAGTACACAAGGAACCTTTCCCCTGCTAGTCGAGCCATATTGCTATCAGGACCTGCAGGTTGGTTGCCAGGAATCTCTTTTGTACTGGCGAGCTAAAATTTGCTGCTTTTTTTTTTATAGGTCTATATTTGTTAGATTTCTGATTGCATTATTTCCTTTTTCTTGAAGAACTTTACCAGCAAATGCTTGCCAAAGCTTTAGCCCATTACTTTGAATCAAAGTTGCTGCTGTTGGACGTAACTGACTTTTCCTTAAAAGTGAGTACGCACACATTTTCTTCCCTCATCCCCTTATCTTTAAGCTTTTTAACAATTGACATTTTAAATGCTCACCATTGTACAGATTCAGAGTAAATATGGAAGTGGCAAAGAATCTGTAAGTTTTTCTTCTTTTTCTCTTTTTGGAAGTGTAATTTTCTCCGATGGCACATGGAATTGGGTTGGCCCTGCTTTTGATTTCTCTAACCTTTGATTCTGTTCTGCAGTCTTTCAAAAGGTCCACTTCGGAGACAACACTAGAGCGATTGTCTGGCATATTTGGTTCATTTTCACTCCTTTCTCAGGAGTTACCCAAAGGTATAGTAGAAAATGCTTGGTTTCCACTATTTACGTGAAGCTTTATCCATATTGTTTCTATATCATGTATTGAATCTAGTAGCAGAACTGAAATATCTAATTTCTTCATTTCTATGATATGGATATTTTGTACAGTAGTTCTATATATGTCTCTATGACTATTAACTATAAGCTCTGTTGCAGGTACATTGAGGCGGCAAAGTAGTGGTGTGGATATTGGATCAAGGTATAGTGAAATATATTCCTGATTAGTCTTGTGAGAAATGTGTAGCTAGGAATTCAGTCTTCCATTTTTCAATATTCCTGGTCCTTGCAACTGCAGGGGAGTAGAAGATCCTCCTAAGCTACGTAGAAATGTATCTGCATCAGCTAATATCAATAGCCTTGCTTCTCAATGCACTTCTGCAAATCCAGGTTTGTCTTAAGTTTTATTATTAAAGGCTTATAAATTATAATTCTTATGGTTAAGAATGGAAATTTTTGGGTTAAGTAATTTGGTGGTTTTTCCTTAGAGTGCAAGGTTAACATTAAATACCACTAATTTTTGTTTCACAACCAACTAATGAAATCTCCTTGACGGTAACGTTTTAGCACAGAACTTAGTACATTGCACTTCATTAGAAGCAGCTAGCGAATGGTTCTATTCTCTGTCATGAGAAAGTAGTAGGAATAATGTAGTGCGCTATTATTGGCTTCTTCTTGAGCTCTTTGGACAATCTGTTATGAGTATGTCCTAGACAGAAAAGGCAGTGTAGTCCTCTAACTGCAACTATAGAAATTTGAGTTGTTGGTAGTTGAAGAGCTTCAGAGTCATGACATGATCCTTAGTGAACAAGAAAGAAATTTAATGTTGAAGCTGTAAGTTGTTAAACAACTTTGCTTGATCTTTCTTTGATCAATTGTACTAACTTTGTAAGGGCAAATGTTTAATCCATTTTTAAATTCAAGGTTTTTGAAGCAATCACTGATTCAACATGGATAGATTCTCATTAAGCTTAACTATTTTCTGTACTATTTATGCCTCACATTCTTATTTACCAAGTTCATTTTCCCAACGCTCATGGCTGCTTTTTTTTTCCCTTTTTTCTAGCTCCTCTGAGGCAGACAAGCAGTTTCTCTTTTGATGAGAAGCTTCTTATACAGTCTCTTTATAAGGTAGGTAATTTGGGGATGCATGTGAACTACAGTCTTTACCATGCAAATCTAATTGCGCTTTATTTATAATTGAAAGCAGCTCATGTCGCGTTTTGAAAATAAATGATGGATCAACAGCAATTCTTAATTGAATGCAGGTGTTGGTTTATGTGTCAAAAGCCACTCCTCTTGTGCTGTATCTTAGGGACGTTGACAAGCTTTTGTTTAGATCGCAAAGGATCTGTAACTTGTTTCAAAAAATGTTAAATAAACTATCTGGAAATGTGTTGATCCTTGGCTCACGAGTTGTAGATCTGGGTAACGATGACAGAGAAGTGGATGAGAGGCTAACTGCCATTTTCCCTTACAACATTGAGATCAGGCCCCCAGAAGATGAAAAACATCTTGTCAGCTGGAAGTCTCAGCTGGAGAAGGATATGAAGATGATGCAAGCTCAGGATAATAGAAATCACATCATGGAGGTACTTTCAGCAAACGATGTTGATTGCGATGATCTAGATTCAATTTGTGTGGCAGACACAATGACCCTCAGCAAATACATTGAAGAGATTGTGGTATCAGCCATTTCTTATCATTTGATGAATAATCAGGATCCTGAATATAGAAACGGAAAACTCATGATATCATCTAAAAGGTCAGAGTAGTTCCTCTTGGACTGGCTATGTTATTGTTACATTGCATTACTTATTGGGTCACATCTATGCAGTTTGTCACATGGATTGAGTATATTCCAGGAAGGAAAGTCCACTGGCAAAGACACATTAAAATTGGAAGCAGAAACTGAAACATCAAAGGTATTTGTACTAGTTTTATAACATCATGTAGAGAAGAAATTAACAGATAGAATACCAAGCTGACATGCTCATTTTGTTTTTTTGGACTAATTATAGGAAGCAGGAGAAGTTTCTGTAGGTTCAAAGCCAGAATCAAAATCTGGGAGCACAAATCCTGAAAAGAAGAGCGAAATGGAGACAACAGCTACAGTAACAAAAACTGAGGGTGAAAACCCCGCCCCAGCCTCAAAAGTTCCTGTGAGTTTGTCTTCTTTTAGATATGGTTTATGGATGGTATTTGTTGAATACACGCACGTCAAATTTTCAAACAATTTTTAATAATTTAATAATTTATCTGATCACCAAAATCCTGAAAGGAGCAAGGATCACCTATTCAATTTTTCCATTTCTCACATCACTTTGTTCGTTTGGCAGGAAGTTCCTCCTGACAATGAATTTGAAAAGCGTATAAGGCCAGAGGTCATACCAGCAAAGGAGATTGATGTTACATTTGCTGACATTGGTGCCTTAGATGAAACCAAAGAATCCCTGCAGGAGCTAGTAATGCTTCCTCTTAGAAGGCCAGACCTTTTCCAAGGTGGACTTCTAAAACCTTGCAGGGGAATACTGTTGTTTGGTCCTCCTGGTACAGGGAAGACAATGCTGGCCAAAGCCATTGCCAGAGAGGCTGGAGCAAGCTTCATTAATGTATCCATGTCTACCATTACTTCTAAATGGTTTGGTGAAGATGAGAAAAATGTCCGAGCTCTGTTCACATTGGCAGCCAAGGTCTCTCCAACTATTATATTTGTTGATGAGGTTGATAGCATGCTTGGTCAGAGGACTAGAGTTGGAGAGCATGAAGCCATGCGGAAAATAAAAAATGAGTTTATGACTCACTGGGATGGGCTATTGACAAAGCCAGGTGAACGTATCCTTGTTCTTGCTGCAACCAACAGGCCATTTGACCTTGATGAAGCCATCATTAGGCGTTTTGAGCGAAGGTGCTTACGCTTAGTGACTTTTAAATACAGTAACATAGAAATTACTGGAACAAATTCTTGGAGAAGCAGAGTTTCTACATGCACATGTACCCTTTTGTTCACAACTTAAATTTTTTCATAAGCTCCATCCTTACTCAATCTGCAGTCTATTGCTGTCACTAAGAAAGTCATGTAGGTTAGCATGCAGAGAATTAATTTTGTTCAACTATTGGCACAGGTCAAAACTATGCATCTCCACAATTACAATCACTCAAGAACTTGACAATTTTCTAAATTACTTAAAATGCTATTGGAGAATTCACTTTGATATTCATTGACACATTGATTTTTCTTCAAGGAATCATGTTTGTTATACTAACTCTTGCTAATTTTAACAGAATCATGGTGGGGCTTCCTTCTGCAGATAACAGGGAAAAAATTTTTAGAACTCTCCTGTCAAAAGAAAAGGTAGTAGATGGTCTAAACTTCACTGAGCTTGTATCAATGACAGAAGGATATACAGGAAGCGACCTTAAGGTTAGCATTTTGATCAATGTGTTGTTAACAGATGAATAACTAGCCAGAATGATTTAATATAATGAATGTTATTTACTGTTTAAAACAGAATTTATGCACAACAGCTGCTTATCGGCCAGTTAGAGAGTTAATTCAGCAAGAGCGATTGAAGGATCTGGTTAGTGCATCACTTCCTTTAAATCCTTAGGTCAACTCCTGTTTTTCTTTAAACAAAATATATTTTCTTTTTTTTTCAAGGAAAATTTGAATTTAAATACTTCTTTTCAAGCAAGTGCCTGGAAAATTAATTCAACTTTGGTCCTATTATGAACTATCCTTTGCAGGAGAGAAAGCAGAGAGCTGCAGAAGGGCAGAACACTGAAGATGCCTCAACTAAAAACAATGGTGCAGAGGAAAGAATCATTACCCTAAGGCCATTAAACTTGGAAGATTTCAGGCAAGCAAAGAATCAGGTAAATGTGATCTCTATACCTCATAATCATTGCTCAGAATAATTTCATAGGATGAAACAATTCCCCAGTAGTCTGAAGAGAACTGCTCCCTTGGCAAATTTTATTTGATTCTTTACATATTTGTTCCATTTTCCTGCTGGGCAGGTGGCAGCTAGCTTTTCTTCTGAGGGAGCTGGAATGAACGAGTTGAAACAATGGAATGACTTGTATGGAGAAGGGGGTTCGAGAAAGAAGGAGCAATTAACCTACTTCCTATGAGACACAGGATTCAATATACAGTTGCAAGCGACATAGGAAGAGTTTTATAGAGGATGTCATGATTTAAACATTGACAAGTGGCTGAAATACTGATAGAAGAACAAAATAAGAAGTGGAAACAAATCCAACGAAAACCCATCCTTTCTTAGTATCTGTAAGTTCTGTTGTGAAGAAGAGAAAAGTTTGTAATATTATTTTAATATAGTTTGGGGGGTTTGTGTATAATGCTTCGGATCATGTTGCTTTTATTAAGCCTGGAATAGAGTAGTAAAAACCCGTAGTCTGCATAATGCTGATCTGAAACAACCCTGGGCTTGAGTACATTGTCTTAAACAATAGCTTAAAAGGATGCTTTTTTAAGTCATCATTAGTTAATTTCAATCTATATCAACACTGTTAATTTCCTGCATTTGCTAGTTGGTATAGCAGCCACTCTTGTGGAGATTTGAACTTTTGCTCCTCATCTCGAATGGCATCTATGGGCATCTTCAAGAGCTATGATTTACTTTATGTAACCCTCGTTTTTATCAACATTATGGTATGCGTTTTGGATCTCGTTGCTCAAATCTAAACCTGTCACTCACTTCCGAAGCCAAATTCACATTACACCTTACGTGCATGACTAACCTAAAGTCTCACAACTATTGACAACCTAAAGACATGCCATCAGTATCTAACAATCTCATCTAAATTTAAACAAGTTGTCAACTGCTACAAAAGCCTAATCTTCACTATGTCTATCCGTAGGTTGGGATAACTTGTGCTATTATTTAGGTAAAACGTGGAAGACATTAACACCAACAACAGTGATAATGATCATGAGGTCAACCACTCCACAAAAATAAAGTGAATCATCCAGAATGATTGCCAGAACAATTTGATAGAACTTTCAACCCAATGTACAATGCACTAATCAACATAAAATATGATAACATATCGTCACATAGCTTATAGTTCCATGGAAAAGCTACCATGTGTGTAGGCAAAACAAGATTTAAAAAAAAGATCCCATATCCATCAACATTGTGAACCCAGTAACTACGAAAATAAAGGATGAAAGCAGGGTTCTAGCTGATACTGGATAAAATTTCACAACACCTTCACAAAACACAGCTACCAGATGTATGTCAGAACCTAGCAACAGCAACATCAAGGCTGGTAAATCTAATCCTTCTTCTTTTCCTTCAATGGTCCCCTAGGAATCTTACTTAAAACTTTTGCATCAAACACTGCATACTGCTTCTTAATTTCATGCATTGCTTTCTCAGCAAATGGGTCCACCTTGTCCTCATATTTCTCATACAGCACAGGTACAGTGTGAAGTAGGACAAACACTGTTTTGCAAAACAATGAAAATGACATCAGGAAACCAAAATATTTATATTTGGGAAACCAATCGAAGGCAACTCAAGTACCTATGTAGAACAGTGTCAAGAAATTGCACCAACTTCCCACAATAGACAAGACCCACAAGCCAGCAATCACCTGAACAATCACAATGCCATTCCAATATGGATGTCAAATGCATAATAACACAATTCAAAATCTCCACGTCAATAGAATGATCAGGACAGAGCATGCATCACTATCTTAATTGCAAGTCAGATGAATAATTGCATATGATCAACTCAAAAAGAAAACTATTCGATACAAGGAAACTACATACAGAGAGAAACTTCTTAAGATCTCTTCCTGATGCAATATCACGCAGGTGAGCAAAAGCCCGATTAATCTCAAATCTAAGTGCTTGGGCAAACTCTAAAACTGGCTCCTTAGGGATTTGAACTTCAGGGATGCGTGGTGGAGACCTATTCAAAACAATTACATTACCATGAGCCAAAAGAAACCCAAATCAAATATAACCCCCCAAAAGTAGACAACAAATTCAACAGCTTACTTGTTGATGAAGGTAGTAGCATTTGACCACAAGAAGAGTATTGCAAGAGCCAGTATCGATAAATGACACACCAGTGTGAGAAGGTGGTATTCCAGCAACTCAAATAAAACCCATATCACAGTTGCAACAACAAGCGCTCCTGCCGAAATCTTTTTGTTCCTCCACAAGAAAATATCAGCCGCTATTACACATACACCCAAGTTCATTACATAAGTATGCATTATAAAAAGAATTACAGTCAAGAGGCAATAATTACTGTTGACTGTTGATAATCAATTAAAAATATCAAATTAACATCATCAGAGAAGCTTACTGGTAATTTACTACTACCTTTTTAAACTTTTAATAAAATAAGATAAACCCAGAAGTTGCTCTCATAAAGCAAAAAAGTAAACTTTGCTGGAACTAATCGCATCAATTCAGTTGAAGATCTCGAAATTCATTAACTTTTTTTCAAGCTAAACCAAAAATTTACAGATCGAAAACCATAATTAAGCTCAAACAACATCAATTAATCAAAATCGAAAGCTCGATCTAAACCACTAAGCCAGATCTAACTCTTCAATGGCCACATAAAAAGATCCAAAAAAAATATCGGAAATTTAATTCTCACTCAAACAAAAAATATAAATCTTTAAAAGGACCCAGACTTCTGAAAAGCTAAAAAATGAAGTGAAAAAAAAATTAAGAAATGAAAAAAGAGGTTTCTGTTACATACGTTTGCCTCCTCCAAAGACTTGGTGGACGGGCTTTTCTCTTCCAAAGAGACGGAAGACCTTAGCCTTGATCAACGATTCTGATGGCTTATTGTCCTCATCATCAGATGATGACGACGACGACGAATCATGGTCGTGGATCTTCTCTGCTATCTTTTCCATCAACGTTTCCTCGTGCTTCTCTCCGTGCTCAGCCATTTTTCTTTCGACCCAAATTCTAAAACCCTAACTACTCCTTTCGAAACCTTTCGAAGGCTGACAGAAAAACAAAATGGGAAAAAACTCGGGAAATGAAACTTTTGAGAAGCGTTCCTTCTTCTAAGCTCGAACCCTTCTGTGGCTAAATCGAGAGCGTACACGTTAGATTTAATCTGTACCGTTTATTCGGGAGGTTTCGATCTGGACCGTCAATAGCTCTGGAAAACCCGAGCCTCAGGAGGTCTGGAGCAAACCCGAAACCCGAAGAGGAGCAGGTGGAAAAAGATAAATGAATGGGAAGCACGGTTTATAGGTTCGAGGATTAACGGCCGTCTGATTTTCGACGGAGACGTTCGCGAACGATACAAGTTGACGAATATCATTCCGACACGTGCAGTTTCGTGAGCCGTGCGATTTTGCATTACTTTAAATATAATTGTGCTGGTAAGGTTAGTCATACTTATTGTGGGTGCATTTGGCAGCAAAGTTCTTAACTGTTAAGCAAAAGGGCAGAAAATTTATGATATTTTAATATATTAACAACCTTAGGAAAATAAAAGAAACATGACCACCTCATGCATTAGACTTAATTGAGCGACCAATATTTAATAGGTTAGTTCATATTTGTGATCAATAATACAGATAACCTAGAAAAATAGTTGATTGTATAATGATTTGCATGTCTGTATGTGTATCCTCTAGATTTAATAAAAAAAAAAAAGAAAAGAAAATCCAGATGTTTCTAGCACACATTTGTGGGCTTTACCAATAAAATATATTCCTATTGGTGCATATAAGCTATTGATATTAGCTTTGAAGTTTTGGTGAAGTACAGAGAACTACAAAGAGCAGCAGAATTTATGAATATATATATATATATATTGAGAATTATTTCATAAATGATTCATTTGAATATTTGACTCATTAATTGACATATAACCTCTTGATTAAAGAGTAAAATTTAATTTTTTTTAATTAAAAAAAAACTAATCCATCAGTACTGTGGTCAAAAAAATCACCTGAAATATCAAAAAATGGAGGTGTGGGATAAGATGCTGAGCATGTGTCCTATTCATTATCACCAGACAGACAGATAAAATCTATAGCACATTATGAATTGGTTGGCACGCATACCACAAACAGATTTCCCAAGATCTCCAACACTTTTCCATTGACACCCTTCCCTTGTTCCATGTTTAGAACTAAAACTTCAGTCGATCAAAAGTGAAAAAAGGGTAAAGAGATTCCAACATTTACAGAAGAATGGGATAAAAAAAAAAAAACCCAAAAACAATGAGAGAGAGTAATATGATTTGGAAGTGTTTGAAAGCCATTATGAAGCATGCATTTTTCTTTATGATTATTGATTCCCTTAGCTAAACTTCTTATCAGTCCTTAGACCATCATCTAACAGCCACAGGTGGACTCTCCTAATGGGGCCAGGTAAGGAACAAATATCCTTCCTCCAAACGAAAGCTAACGAAAATGGGAATGGGAGACAACAATGTGGCGATAAAAGAGCATCAAGACTTGAAGAACAGCAGAATCTAACTGTCAAAACTCTGTTGAAGATTGCAATGTCTGGATTTAAGCTATACATATATATATATATATATGTAAAGTTGATTTACGACTGGGAGATTAGTCCTCCTTGACATGATGTTGACGACCCTACATCCAGCTTCTATGTGACAAAACGTTTCATGAAAAGTGCAGAAAGGTCATGAGAACAACCCCAAGAAGTAAGGACAGTAGTCCCAAAGCAAAAGCAAAAAAGTAACACAGGATAACCATTTCCAGCTCCCAACCAATTGAATTGTGATCATTTTATGACTTGTAATAGGCAAAACTGCAGCTTCTGCCTGAGACTAGCTACCATACATGCTTTTGAAACCCCACTGCCCACCCTTTCTGAGGAAAGAACTAATGCCATGATGTTCCTATTTTTGATACCTGCTAACCAATCAAAAGATGAATATGCAGTGGAGAAACCTTGAAAATATAGACAGAAAGGAAAACTACACCAGCTATTTTATCACATGCCAGTCTATGGAATTGCAGGTAATTTAATCACACAAGGCTGTAAACATATGAGAAAAATCCTAATAGCAGATGCCTATATGGTAAAAGATATGCTCGTATTCCTTTTTAAAACTGCATACAGCTTACTCATAGATGATCGTATTCCTTCTTAAAACTGCATACAGCTTACTCATAGTGAAGTTTACCTCCACAGCGAAGCTCAACTAAATCTGTTTTCTGCCAAAAGGGAAAACAAGAAATTGATGAAGATTATGGCACATGGCTATTGATATAGTCCTACAAGTTATGTTGGATTTGAAATGTTGATATCAGTGAGTTGGCTTGTCAATTTTAGCATTCCATAAGCTCAACAAACGAGACAAAGGCTAGCAGAAAAGGTTTCCGTAATGGAACTGGCAGGTCATGTGCCTCCTTAGAAGTGAAGTATTGGAAACTATTGGTCCTAGTATTTAAGTTAAACGTTATAATAAAGCAAAGTGCATAGTAAATTTTCAAGTTTGCAATGTCAAGATGAAAGAGAAACAGAAAGTTAGCAGATGCTTTAGCTGTTTCAAGCTGTTAACAAATCTGATCTATACATCTCTATAAAGCAAGTGATTAGAAAACTGCAAAGTCAGGAAATAAAATACACGTAATAGCTTGTAAATCTGTGCATTCATCTATACCTGGACTGAGTAAGCCATTATCTTGCATCAACCCAAAATTTTCCTTTTTCATAATGATGGGGTGGAGAGAAACCAAAATGTGTAATTTGGGATGTTCATCCATGTAGCATGTAGGCACCTTATTAGTAAATAATCATGAAGATAATGATGCTGTCTAAGTAAAATGTCTGTTCCCTATCACTTTAAAGACATTAGCTATCATGTAGGCTAAATTGAACTTCAAACATATAAAGCAAATAGGGGAATAGATGCTTTGCCAAGAATGACACTAGATACAGCCACCCTGCCTTCAAGGCTAAGACATGACTAGATCAGTGAGTAGGCTTTCACCTCCTTCCAAATTTTCATTCTTCCCATTGCCATTATAACCTTATGATAGTCAACAAACAATTTTACTCTCTCAAATGTGCCATTACCATTGTATCATCTTTGCATATAATGCTTTTTCACATACCTAAAAGAAAGTGATTTGAAATAGACTGACTATATTTCTGAAAGTGTTGGTGGTTTATAACATTTTCTAGTTGTTTAATGCATGATAAGCTTCCTTAGCTTCAAAAGTTATGGAATTTCGCTGTATTTTTGCAGCAATTACAGAGTAGATGGATCTGAGAGTAAGTAGAATATCTCTCACTGCCTATCATGATCATATATTAACTCTTTAAAGAGAACTTCTCTTGTCATATGTAAACCTTAATGACCATCCTTTAGTCATAGACTGCACCACTTCGTGGCTTGTCAGGGATACTAATCAAGGTTTAATCCTTAAGATTGTGTTCAAATGTTTTGACAGATAATTCATCAAATAATTTGCCTTATGATATGTTGTTAAAGTTCCAGGGATCAACAAAGTACTTGCAGGTGCATAAGACAGTGGTAAGCAGGATCTTTTCCAAAACTCGTCTCCATAGACTGTCATCTTGTTCGAAGTAGGGGGATTGAAGAGAAGGGGTTGGTGGTCAACTCGTGGTTTTTGCTACCCCCCAGCCTCAAAAAACCCAATCAAAGATCTTTCGAGCAACACATGTTCACTGAATTTAGGTTCACAGTCGTTTGAATCTAGACATTATACACAAATTATTGCGAGAAATGACATAATCAAAAATTTGCATCCCAGTCTATAGAATCCTGAAAACAACCCAATCAGCAAGAAATTCTTGATTCTCGAATTAGTCCTATCTAAGGAGGTGTCCTGCAGAGCCAACAACATTTGTAATGCATTGATCAATACTTTTAACCATGATTCTTTATCAAGATCGACCAACTACGCAAAAGACCAGACTGCAATTTGAACTCCCAACACTTCCCTTGCAACATTACAAATTAATAAAACGACTTTGAGCGGTTCTTGAATCTTGATGAAGCAACTATAAAAGACCATAACATTGAAGCAGAAAAACATGGGTACTGATAGTAAATGAACCAACATGAATTCTTTATCAATGAAACAAACTAATAATGCAGAACAGACAACAATATGAACATAGTTGAACAAAGTACGCATATAAACAATCAATATCTCATCCCAAGTTGTGTTGTGGTAGCCAGTAAAGTATATAAACTTAGCTTTTCTTCAGCCACGAACATCTTTAGATTACGTAATACAGAGAAAAAAGAAGCTAAAGTATTGGATGATGGTACAATAAACAACCAAAAGCAGAAGCAAAGAAAACTCAAAGCTGCCAGAGAAAAGTATAGTAGAGGTAGCACTAGAATTACCTTATTTGATGCTGTAAAGGGAGAAAAAAGCAATGCAGAAAAATATACAAGCCTGCTTTAACTGGCTTCCATGGAATCATGAGAGCAGCTTGTACTTGTATGCACTTCCAGATCACAAAGACTTCTGCTTCAACGCCTGGAGCTGTTCCAAGTATTCGTTGACCAACATTTGAGCCAATTTCTGGAGTTGTTTTTTGTTTTCCAGTTTGGACCAATATGACCATGTTGAAGTGTTATAATTTGAGGCAGTGATCTTCAGTCTTCGATGGGAATAAGGGTAATGTTGTCATTCAAGCCAATGGCGGCTTTTCCATTGAAGTTAAGAGGACTTGTTCAGGTCATATTTGCTTTGTTTGGAAAAAAGAACATTTCAACGAATATGCGCTGGGTACCATGTGCTTGTGTCACGGACCGCAGTTTAGCGCCTTAGAAGTGACCTGAGGGTGTTTCAAAGTATCGGTATGTGAGGGAAGTATTGCTGAGAGAGAATCCTCACTGGATAACGGAAGGCAAGTGCAAAGTTTCAGCAAGGGTGCACAGCACAAGATCCTGGGCGAGCCAGCCCGGCAGGGTGCCAACAGGGGCGCACATCACAAGCCCTTGGGCAAGCTGTCCGACGGGATGCCAACAGGGGCGCACATCACAGGCCCTTGGGCAAGCTGTCCCGACGGGATGCCATTAGGGGCGTACAGCACAGGCCCCTGGGCGAGCTAGCCCTACAGAGAGCCAGACAAACTCGCGCAGGAGCGCCAGCCCGCAAAACAGGGGTGCGCGACACGCCGACCCGCACACCATGGTTACGCGGCACGCAGGCCCGGGGCCGCCGACCCAGCAAGGGTGCGTGGCACGCAGGGACGCAGAGCATGGGCGCACGGTACGCAGGCCCAGGGCCTCCGGCCAGCAGGGGTGCGCAGCACGTAAGTGCGCACAGCATGGGCGAGCGGCACGCAGGCTCGGGGCCGCCGACCCAACAAGGGTGTGCAGCACGCAAGTACGTGGCACGCAAGGTGGCTCGGCAGGGGCGCAGCACGCAGCCTGCACAGTGCCCAGACAGACTACCTACGCGGGGCCTCTGCACACCAGCCCGCCAGTGCCCAGGCACATAGCCTGTGCGCAGTCCAGACCCACCAGATGGCCCAAGAGGTTGCCGGCCCACCAAACCCATGTAGTGAGCTGCTGGAAATTTCAGCTTTCCCTCCAAATGAGCTTCTAGAAACTTTAGCTTTCCCTCTCAAATTTTTTGAAGGGAAATCTTTTGGAGGGAAATGCTTTGGAGAGAAATATTTTGGAGAGAAATATTTGAGAACCTTGGCTATAAATAACTCCATGCTCTTTGTGTAAATCATTCAACACAATTCATTTTCAATTCTTTCAATACAAGCTCAGCTTCTCTTTGCTAGCATTTCTTCTCTGTCTTCTTTCTCTTTTATGCAAGTTTGCTTCCGGCTTAAAACCATTGTGTGGGTGTTGGTGCTTGCTGGGTAAGTGCTGAAGCACTAAGGTTGACTTGGATTCTAATACCGGAATAAGGGTTGAACCCAAAGCTGTACAGAGGGTAGTCTGAAAAATCACCCCGTGACACTTGGCTCTTCTTATCCACTAATGCCTATATTTTCTGCCGTTAGATTAAATTGTCTGCTTACATTAGAAAAAGAAAAAAAAAATTGTCTGTAGCAGTTGTGTCATTACAGTAGAGGATCGTGACCCAAGAGAAGTTGTTGGCAAATAAAGAAAGTAGAATAAGGGGCCTGGAATATTTCTTTTCCAATATTATAAAAAGATGTATATTGGAGAAAACCTTGCAATTGGGCCGTCACAGGCTGCACTCTTGCAGCCTGTGAACCAGAAAATGGAGTGGTTTGGGCTCAGGGAGAAAATGATCTTAGATCTGCCCAACAAACCGGCACATTAATGAAGAAGGTGCAGGTTGCCAAGATTGCTACTGGTATCAAATCCAATCTGGGTCGAGGGACCAGCAGAGCAACTGTAAAAAGTACCCCAGAAAAAATTATGGAGCTGGAAATGGGAAATGATTGAGCCTTAAGCCTGAAAAAGGAAGGAGGAGGACTGGTTGTTTTCCACAAGAAAAGGGACAAGGAATGGGGGCCATCCTTCATCTTCAAAAGGAAAGTAAATGGCAACAAAAAATGCCAAAGCTGTGATTACCATCATAATTTTAGTGGGGAGTTTTTTTTTTCAAACAAAACCAAAAAAAATCTAAGATATAGTCTCAACAAATCATTCTTTTCCAAAGTTTCATGTGATTTTTTTTATGTAAATACAAATGAATGTGGGGTAGTGTTTCAAACTTTTGTACCTTGCCTCCAATAAACAAGACAAATAGTTAGGAAATCAGGGGATTTTAGTGGATAAGATCCCTTTTTGTAACTAAAGTGAAAGGTGGCTCTGCTTCTTTTAGAACCTAGAATAAGGAATAAGAAATTTAGGTTATAGTTGAGTATTTATTTCCATAGTTAAGGGTAGAGAACTAAAAGTCAAAAAAGAAACGTTCATCACCTTGCAAAATTAACATTTAACACTTGAATGTTTTATGCATGCATCTGCTCTAAACCAAACTCCTTTAAACCTACGTACCCAACCCAACATAGGGTCTTTGACTTTCTTTGTTGAAAGAATGCCAGCCTTTAGAAAATTGTTCAAGGCATAGCTTGCACTCCAGGACTTCCCTTGGTCTAATTTTCTCGTTAAACTATTGAAAATCAAATATTTTCTCGACTATAGTTTTGTTACATCTGTATGTAGTGAGTCCATGGAATATTAATAGTTACAGATGGGTGAATTAAGCAGGCTATTCATTACTCCATTCCAAGAAATCTACTCATCAATGGTAGGAGATGCCACGCAATAACCTGCCCAGTTTGTCCAAATTTGCAGGCTGCATTATTAGAGGTTGCAGGACATCGCTGTGGACATGTTTGTAATTAGGTTTGCTTCACCACCCTTTAAAGCTTTAATTAGTCTCGCACCAACCATGGGAGAATATTAAAACCATTTGTAATTCTATTGCCAGTGTGTTCTTTTGGCCAGGATATATTGGATTTGATTTGGATTTTGGATTCCGTAATTAAGAGTTCAGTTGAATTTTGTTCATAATACTCGTCTAATGATATCTTCATGGATTTTGATGTAGTTGACACAGCTCGATTGCCTACGAAAATAGCATTAACCTTTATATAATTACTTGTGTGGAAGAATGTAGGGATATCAATCACAGATTCCATCAATTGCAACAGATGATATTGAAACTTAATAAAATATCCTTGATTCTACCTATTAGACCAATAATCCATTGATAATGGTAGCTTGAAGGCAGCTAGTATTTGGTTACGTTTAAGATAAGGGGGTTGTTCTGTCACTTTTATGGGACCCTTTTTCCCATAGTTTCCTGAAGTAATAATATCATGGGGGTTGTCCCGTCATCAGACGGTTGCTATCAATTCTCTCTCTCAAACTGGAGAGTCCTCCATTCATTGGAAGACCCCAGCAAATGGGGCGGCCATGGGCAGTTGAAAGCATGAAATCGAGTACCGGTCTCTATCCTTCAGGTCAGGAAACTTTTCTCTATTTTGTTGAAACATATACCTATATGACGTGAAAAGGAAGGGTTAGAGTTATGCCCGATCAGGTTGAAGCAGAAAACTCTGGAGGTCAAAGCTCTTTTTTGTTTCCCAAGTGAAAGACTCATGGAGCTGGATTGTGCAAAGCAAAGGTCCCCTACATGCATCTTAGCCACGTGATTTTACACTAGGCAAGTATAGCCAATTCGGGTTCTGCAGCTTGCAGGGGTTTGGACCCCGGGATTCAGTCCTTTTCGTCTGTTAAAAGTAAATGTGAGTTTAACTGAGGACCTAGGCTCAAGTTCATAGGCAAAGAGTCAGAGATGCTAGCTTCAAGAATCAAACCCCCCTTTTCTTTTCTTTTTATTTAACTCTGCCAAGACTCACCTTGCAGTTCTTTCACTTTTCTCCCCCTCTTCCTGGAAATTTCGACGACTATGCCTTTTGTTTTTTAGATAGTTTGTGTATAATTTTATGAAACAATAACAAAAATCACGGTGTATAGTAATGGGCTAGCGAAATTAGAAGTCAGGAAACTACCTTGTCGGTGCCCCAAATGTTGAGAATCTTACCATGTCAAAGAGAGGGGAGGTGCAATTATAACAATGCTTTATCCAAAAATAAAAAAGTCCACAAACTAATAAAGAGAATTCTCATCGTATTGCATAATCTTGTTCTTTTATTCTGAGGTATAACATCATGAACCATATGATTCCATAATGATTTGAGGCCTTAATTACCATACAAGATTCACAAAATTGTATGATTATGGACTCAAAACATCAGAGAATAAAAGGAGAGTTAAAAGAGTGTTATCCAACTCATCAATAAATGAAGTTATAAAGCTAAAGCAAGGCTAGGAGCTAGAAAGAGCTGACCATGATATACATTTAAGACAGAGCATGATGACAACTGATGTGAACTTACCTTACCCAACTACCAGCAAAAAATACAGTGAAAAATGCACCCAAAAAAAACCCAAGAAAAAACAAGTGTATACTAATAATAATTATTAACATTTTACAGCATATAGTACGTAGTATTTGTGTACAATGGTACACACTCTTCCCCTCTCTCTTCTCTTATAACTCTGTCCTCTGTCAAAAAAATTTTTCTGAGCATTGCAGACTGCTCTCACATGACTGACCTGCTGCAACCACGTATACAATACAAGACAAAATAAAGGCCAACGCTCTAACTTTCTTTCTCTCTTTACTCTTCTTTTCTCTCCCTTGGTAAAAAAGCTTACCCCTCCCCATCTCCCTCTCTGTTCACTCTGTCACGCTCCATTTTCAGTACTTCCCATTAACCCTAAAGCCTCCACTCTTTCTCTCTCTCTCACTCAAAAAATATCCCTCCTGTTTTTATTATTTCTTGTTTTATTTTACCCATCTACTCTAAAAACCCATTCTTAAAATTTGTGTTTTTCTATTCTGGCTCTCCCAACAATGGAAGCTTTTAGCTTGCTTAAGTATTGGAGGGGTGGTGGTGGTGGTGGTTTAGGTGGTGCTGCCGGCGGAGGTGGAAGTAATGCTTGTGGTAATGCACGTTCCGCTGCTACTGCCGGTGGTACAACTACGATTGTGACGGCGGTGACTACTCATCAGGCGGTGGATACGGATGATGACGATGACGATGATGGGCCTTTCTTTGACTTAGAATTTGCGGTTCCTGATGAGGACGAGACAGAGGAAAACGAAGAGATTGGTAAAGAAGAAGATAATGTTGAAGATGAAGAAAGTGAGGATCAAATTGACGACTTTGACGCAAAATCTGATGATGGCTGCTCGGATGGTGAAAGAGAGTTCAATTTCACACTTTCCTCTGGCTCTAGCAACGACCGTTCTGATCCAAACTTAACTCTATCTCCTTCTGATGATTTGTTCTTTAAAGGAAGACTCGTACCCATTGAGCCAAACTCTTCTTTAGACTCAAAGCCTCCTCAATTCCCTGTCTCGTTGTTGAAATCAGCCACAAAGTTTCGAGTTTTCTTGTTAAGGTTCAAGAAATCAAAGCTCAACTCAACTGAAAAAACAGAGTCGGCTTCAGCTAATGGCTCTGTTTCTGTCCCGACTGCTACACCGAAAAAACAAGATACAACTCAAGAAGAAAACAACAACAACAACAACAACAATAACAAGAACAAGTTTTTTACAGTGAAATTTAAGGTCGAAGAGGTTCCTATAATGTCTTTGTTTTCCAGAGACAATAGTAAGTCACAGAAACAGCAGAGCTCTGAAGACTCTGTTTCTGATGAAAAGAAATTCTCCAAAGATGTAATGCAAAAATATTTAAAGAAAGTTAAGCCACTTTACGTAAGGGTTTCAAGAAGGTACGGTGAGAAGTTAAGATTTTCAGGGCAGTTAAGCTTGAGTTCTTTGAAACCTGCAACGCCACCGTCTACAGCGGCGCAGAAATCGGTTTCAGGGAAGGTAACAACGACGGAGAAGGGACAGGTGGAGGTAGAGGTTGGGGAGAGTCAGGTGAATGGTAAGAACCTCAAGCAGGTGAATATCCCAGCTGGACTTAGAGTGGTCTGTAAGCATTTGGGAAAGAGTAGATCGGCTTCCTCCGCCGTGGCGGCCGCTCCTCCTGTGCCAGCTTTGTCGCAGAGGAGAGATGATTCTCTGTTGCAGCAACAGGATGGGATCCAAAGCGCCATCTTGCATTGCAAAAGATCCTTTAATGGCTCTCGAGGTATTTCATTTAAAGCTCATCACTTTACTTAAAGATAAGCCCTTTTTTTCCTTGTTAGTTTTGTTTCTGAATGACCTTCGATATTTTTTGGTCATAGATTCTTCAGAGTCTTCCGTGTTGCCAAGGTCTGTGAGTGACCCATCTCATGAGAAGTCAATTAATTTGTCAAGAAAATCAACACCAGATGAAGCTAAAGTCTGAATGCTGGGAATTAGAAAATTCCTGTCTCTATAAGTTCTTAAGATCAACTCCCCCCAAAAAAAATGAAAAAAAAGCGGGAAAATTTGTCCTTTTATCAGTGAATCAATCATGTGATTGATATTTCAGGACTAGGAAACGAGTTTTCACCTGTCTGTTAATTCAGCAGCTTAATTGATTATCTCTGTGTAAATGTTTTTGTTGTCTAGATAATTAATTTTTACTAGTACTTAGTATTAATTAGTTAAGAGGGAAAAAAGAGCAGTAGCTGATTTGTGGAAGATGACTGGTTACTGGTTACTCGTAGCTAGTTAGACTCTTCTGCTTTCCCTCTCCCTCTCCCACTCCCTCTCTCCTACTGTATGTAAAGCTCCTCTTTCTGTGAAAGTGAAAGAAGAATCAGATCTTTGTATCTATCTTAAAAAATATGAAGTATGAAGGCTCCATCATTATCAGCAAATTTTCCCTTTATCTTTTTTATTTTTGTTTGAACAATTCAGAATTCAAGTTTTGATAATGTGAGTGCCTTTTAATTTGGATTTGTTATTCATGGGTCCCGGAGTCGGGACTAATGCTTGTCTTTAGTGGTCAGAGAAGTGGGAAAGTGGAAACAAAAACAGTAGAAAAGAGATTTTCTTTTCTTTTTCTTTTTCTTTTTCTCAAAGGGTTAGAGAAATAAAAAAGGATCAGCCACAGCAGGGTTGAAGATCAAGGCTGCAGCAGCCGGCAGGTTTGGTGGAAGGAACAGGATGGCATCACGGTAAAAATCCCACCATTTTTATCCGTCTTTTTTAGTGTATGGAGCAAGACCACAAACGAGTTCTCTCACAGTGGACACCTTTCTTCCTCTAGCTTTGGTCTCATCATGTATTGGAACTCGAGAAGTCATGGATGTCGATGATACATACAGCCCCATTTTTTCTGTGTTCTTGTAATATAAACGTAGGAGATTCAATTTGTCTCCTTGCGGCGGCAGGCTTGGGGCCTACAAAAGCGCTGCTGAGTGCCCTGCCCTTGCCACCCTGCAGTGTTTATGGGCAATCCCTTTTGTCGTTTTGGTCAGTAATCAGATCCCTAATCAAATTTTCTCCCTCTCTTTGTGTTTAAGCAGCAGCGGGAGCAGCAGCAGCAGCTATTTGCTGCTATTGTAGGCCTAAACGACAGCTGGAGGAGAAAAGAAATGACACTAACAAATTCCGAGGATGGTAGGACAGAAACTAAAGTGAATTTCGTAAGTAAAAAATCAATCCTAGGTGTAATAAGTTGAGAAATGATGATTGCAGTATAGAATCTTTTGGTTTCGGTGTCTGAAAGCAGCGTGCCCTAAAGACTTAATAACGGCATTGTTCTGTTGGCACAAAACTTTGACTAGGGTATTAGAAAGAGTAATGGGCTTTCTAATCAGACTAAAGCTTGAAGCACGCTGTCACCCCTTTTCCTATCTCTCCTTCAGAAAAGAAAACAGAGAATACGGAGCTATCAGCTGCTTGGCAACCCTTTTTAGGCATAATTGTACCATTTTAGCCTCTATTTGTGGGGAAAGACACTTTATGATTTAAAAAAAAAAAAAAAAATTGCTGCCCCTCCCTCTTAAGGGAGCGTTTGGTACGGTGAAATTACTTGACATTATTTGGAAAAAATCAATTTAATGTAACATTGAATTGCAATTATATTGCAGTCAGTAGAGATAATCACATTATCATTAAACTAATCTTTGGTACGAAAAAAGTAAGAGTGTATTTTTTACAATGTAATCAATTAAATTATATTACAGTATTTGTTGTGCAACAAATCAATATAAGATTACAATATAATGTAACTATAGTCTATAGATATAATATGATTGCAGCTCAAAATTAATGCAATCAGATAACATTGCACTCTGTAATGTTATTAAAAATTTTTTTATCTTCAATTTAAAATAACAAATTAAATATTATCTTTTAAAAGATAAAAATTAAAATAAAATATATGATATTAAAAATATATTTAAGAGATGATATTATATAAAAATAAAAATATAAAAATATATTAAACTTGTATTTTAATATATAAAGATAATTTTAAAAATTAATATTAAATTTTTTATATTTTAATATTTATTTATATATTAAACACTGTAATATTATTTTCTTTGTAATTATAATTGCACGAGCTGCAATCACATTGTATTATAAGATATCAAACGTTACCTAAGAATCTTTTAAGAATCAGTATAATGTTACTTTACCGTTTACTTGACAAAATAAAAACTTTGATTTATCATTGTTGCCCCCATTCTATTTTAATCAAAAGTTCTTCTTCTTCACCCAAGAGTTTCTTTTTCTTCTTCTCCAAATGGGGTTTTTGTTTTTTTCTTTCTTGCCATTATATTACATTATATGCATAATGCATGTATAAATCTATATTTTTTGTTATTAAAAAAAGAAACCCACAGCGACATTATGATTTACGAAGAAATATCTTTTACGATATAATGCAAAAGGACGAGAAAAAAAAGGAGATTTACTCGTCAGTTTGCTAAGTTCTAGTAATACTTAAATTGCAAGTGGGCAAGGAAACGTACTATTTAATGGTCCTAATGCAGCCTGTATATAGACATGACAAACCTTAGGCCTAATTTATTATAATAAAGTCTTGCATTCTTGTCTCTTAACACTAAAATTCTTTTCCCAAGACTTATAATACAACGCCATTTGACTTGCCTTCAAATTAAAATAATGAGAATATTCTTTAGTTATCCTTAGAATTAGATAATAAAAAAGATATTGCAAAAATGGTGCCATTTGTTTAATTAACAGAACAAGTTTTCTTGTAAGCCTGCATGTGTCTTAATTTTGTGGCATTCTTTGGAAGCATCTTTATGAAATCTTCCAAACTATATTAGTCCATTTTCTGTTCCCAGCATGTGAGTGAGAACATGTCTATGCTCGTATTTTATTAAAAGCCTGATTCATGTGATGAAGTTTCATGTACTAACCAAAGGTTTTTCTAGTGGGGAATATAAAAAATATGCAAGTACAGTATACTCATTGATAGCCTAAAGTTTAGTTCCTCTTACCATTTTCCCTAGACAAAAATGGAAACAATGCTAATTTGGCTTACTTTTAGAACCAATCTCGACCAATATAGTCACAATGATCCCTTGCTTTCACGAAGTTAGAACTTAAAGTCGCGTCTAAAAGGGTTGTTTGAATTCAATTAGGAGGTTTAGGATCCAATTGTTTGAGAATTGCACCTGATTCATCAAGGAATAGTTGTATCTGGTTTTGGTGTCAGAGAGAAGCATGTTAGCAGATTTTAGCCTATAGTGTAACTGCAATATGGGACAGAGACCCTCTAAAAGCCTGCATGGATGCCTTTCTCCTAAATAGTCAGGGATCAAATGAGGCTGATTCATGAACAGGGGCCATTAATCTTTGTTTTTGCGAATTCATATATGGATGTTTGGAACACAAATTTCACCAACCATGACAGTTGCGACTGTTTCGAGAGACAAATAACCCCCTTCAGGAGCCTGCATGTGCGGGAGGGGATGCTTTTTCCTCCTTCTCAATTGAGATTTGAGAGTGGTTAACCAAACTGGAACGATTCATGCAACCGCTAAAAGCATTTTGGGTTTCTGGAAGAAGGCAAATGGAATTGCTAAGTGTATGTTCTTTTGGAAGTTGTAAACGGAATCATGCATGCACTTGAAAAAGGCTTGACAAAGAAGGTCACCCAACATGTTCTCCTCAACCCGAGGAAGAAAGATTGGCTCTGTTCCCAGGGATGATATGCCTGCCTTTTAGCTCTTCAAACATGAAAATTGTTTGTTAGAGAAAGGTTACGTTTAGGCTATTAAGAAAGGAAAACGCTGTTAGCCTGTGTTTTGCTCGATGAATCATACAATCAAGTCGCGTATTTGCCCAGGATGTGACGGCATGGGTTTAAATGGAAAATCATGTCTTCCTTAATGGGGCCGACGCTGATGCAGTTGCTGACCCAAAACTTGGCTTAGCAAGTTCAATGTCCTCTCTTTTCAAAGGCCCAAATCATCCCAATTCCTGGTCCTCATTCTACATTTTACAAAACAAGATTATGACTATTGGAGATTTAAACTCTGAATCTTTTATTGGTAAGTAGTTTGGGTTTAGAAGATTCTTTCAAGGTGCTAGTTCATTTTGTTGATTGTGATTGTATAGAAATACCTACGACTACGACCAAATCTTACAATACTAAGTACAATATTTATTTGTACAATCTAATCATTGAATTACCATTATTTACCTTTTTAAAATAATGAGATCATCTGACTTGATGTTTTATTTTATTAAAAAATTTGTCAAGAGCTTCGAGATATCCAGGCGATGATTTTCAACTTTGAATTTCAAGTTGATTGGCTTTGAAAATTCAATTGTTTTACTTTTCAAATAACCCATATATATTTCCATAGCAGAAATTAATACAAAGTGTTTAACCAGTAAAGAAATTATTGATCAATCATAGTCAGTGTTTGGTGAAAGCCTAGAAAGCTTGAAGAGAGAGAGAGAGAGAGACATCAACAATCAGATGGAAAAACAATCCAGCTTGGATTCCTATAATATAGTCATGAATCTTAATGGGAAACTGGGAAATGCTCCATTTGACAATATAATTACATCAAAAGCAGACTTGGAAATTTGGCTGTCCATGCATTTTTTTTTCTTTGAATATGAAATTCTTACGCTAAACTTCCTAGTTATTACCATTGAGAAATTCGTATGATGAATTCTTTTTCAAGTGAGCTAATAACCTTGTGCCTCCATTGAAGAATGTTATGCTTGTATGGAAGGAAAAAAGGAAAAATCAAGAGAAATCTAATCTATTTACGGGAAAAATGATGAAAAAGAGGGTTGAAACTTGAAATCAAAGCAATGCTTGATTTGGCTGGCAATAACCAAATATGCATTTCCTGAATTCTGAAAAGCTATAAAAGATTTATGGGTATAACTTAGAAGCGCATTTATGTAAGATCTGCAATGGCAACACCAAAAAATGTAAGCGGCAATAGGAATGAAACCAAAGAATTTTCCCCATTGAAGCACTGGAAATTCTCGTTTCAGTCAATTTTCGACGTGAGTACGATGATTCAGTATTGCTTTAGAAATAACAAGATCTGATCAACTTTGAGGAAAAAAACCAAAAATGGGCAATTTCTTATATTACTCCTTAGTATTTACAGGTAATTTCATAGGAAAAAACAGAAATGGTACGACAATCGAATCGAGGTGCTGCATATTTAACCATAAGCTTCAACAATCACCATAGAAGAAAATGACTCTAGTAATCAAGTTCTGGCCTGCAGCTCTCTCCATGAAACTCTTGGCCCGAGAGTCTATAAGTCATGGTACAATTAAATTTAACCACAACGTTTTTCTTGATAATATTCAGTATCCTGACCCGGCCTGAAATTCTGGTGTAGCTGCTTATGTTCAATGCCTGTGATGCAATATCGCTCATCAAGCTTGGAACAGCCAGAATTTTCTCAGGAATGATATCCACTGTCACGTTCCTCCGCAGTGTACGCCTCGGCTTGGCCTTCCCTTGGAGATGGTCGCCCTCACCGACCACCCTCCCACCATAGTAAATTAATGTGGTGCTGTTGTTGAACTTGAAGGTTGCCACATTGGGGTTCTTCACTGAAACATCAGCCAAAAGTGTCACATTCACATCAGTCCTGAGACTTCCGTTCTGGAAAAACTCCAGGCGCTGGATCGTTACAGAATTCAGTCTAATCATGGGATCCTGTATCCGAAAAACCGTGAAAAATAGGACTAGAATCACCACGGCTTGAATTAATAAAAGCGCGGCGACGCAGCCACAGCACTGGATATATCTTCTCTTTTTCAGCTTCAATTGCATAGACAAGGCTTCTTCATCGTCGCTGCGAGTTTGGAAGGCTGACGGGGCTAAGGGCTTGACCTGCTCTCGATCGGCCATCGTCAAGTTTTGGAATCTGTGACCCTCGGTCCTTGGAGATAAATACTTCGCAAATGGGACTACATTCTGGTTTTCGTCTAACAGTATTTGCTAGGAAAGTATGCCTGATGTGAATTGAATTGTCCTCTGTGTTATGGGCTCAAACGCGTTTGCACGCTTTGCGCGTCTTGACTATTGACTACTGCCTTCTTGAGAAATTCTACCCTTTTCTTGCGATGGAAAGGAAATTCTACCTCGAATACGACATTATATGGACTTTCTTCTTTTATTTTTTTTGGTTCAAACAGAGCGCGGACATGAAATCTTTCAAATTAAGAAGTTTCTTTGAGTTTCTTATGATGTTTACTGATTCTTTCTCTTTCTTATTTCTTTTAAACCTTCTCCTTTATTTGTTTACTTAAATATGTTGTGAAGATTACACATGGCTCATTATCTTCCAAGAACCATATAGTATCTGCCGTCTGCATGGCATGGGACAATAAAATACACTACTGCAATTACTGACTTTATCTTGAATTCGAAGTCACACTCACACGGTTTTTGGGTAATTGGCAATGTGAAAGGAAGGAAATACCAGTACTTTTTCACTTTTTTGGTATGAAGGAAATACCAGATCAACAACAAAGAATGCTACGCTAACTGCTCAGGATTTGAGGCGAATGAAGCTATGGGTTTCTTTGGTGTGAACTGAACTCCAGAACCTACAGGATGGCAAAAGTCACAGAATCTTATCGGGTTTTGGGTTCAGGCGTATAACCCAAAAGCTATAGCTTAGTTGATGGACTTGCTTGGTTAGCCCGCCCTTTCATGGTGATAGGGAAAGCTACGTCTTCAAAATAACAGAAGAATTCTATTAGTAAATTTATAGCAATGGAAATGAAATGAAAGAGGATTAAACATATTAAATTTGTAGACCATAGTTCTGAGAAATACAAATTTTGAGCACCTCAAAGCTAACTATAAGGTTGTGCAGCAGTTTAGAACCAGAGAAAAGCTAAAATTGAGCTGATCATGGTCCTAATGAGATATCACCAGCCTAGGATTTGTGATACGAGGGCGTTGGTTTAGCCCCTAAGCGATTGCTCTGTTTTCACTTCTCATTCCCTTTCATGGAGGCTGGCATATGGGGTGGCCGCGGGTTGAGAAAAGTGTATAAGAAATCACAATCTAAGAGATGTGATCTTACTTTTCATATATGTCAAGGAAAGGAGTTGGTAGGTCTAAACGGAGACTATAGAGGAAGCTAAGTTCTGACTCCTGAGTCCCGTCCCACTTGGACAGATACTTTCAATGGTTAGAAGCTTCCTTTGGTCCCAACCCTGAAGTGAGTCAGAAGTTACTTTTAGCTTGAAAAAGGCACAAGCAAGAAGCTGGACCGGCCAACGGGAAGGGATGGATTCAAATTTTTCTTTGAGTGATATCATAATTAAAATAATAATAATAATAATTAAAAATATAAATAAATTAAAAGTTTAATATTAAATTAAAAAATATAAATTTAGTATATTATTTAATATTTAAAAGTAAAAATATTTAAAATGATTACGATTGTTTTCAATCATTTTTGATATTTTGAAAATAATACTTGATATTATTAATAGAAATATTATCAAATACATCTTTTATAATATATGTTATCAAATAATCATTCTTTCAAAATTACTACTCATTAACATAAATTAAAATATTAAGATTAAATAAAATATGATCTCACATAACAAATTATCAAATTCAATAACTAATAATATGACAATTTTCTATTCATTAATCAAAATTAAATATAAGTATCCACAAACTACATAAAATTAAATACAAAAATCAAATAATTAAATTATATATCTACAAAATAAATAAAAAAAAGAATCATAATTTTAATATATTATTTGACATATAATAATTATTTTTTATTAGCCAAATTATAATTATGAACCTAAACTATGAAATTAATAAAAAAATATTTAGATATGAAGTATTTAAAAACTTAATTTTGATTTAAATTATTTACAATTGAAGTGTAGATAAGTTATTTTAAGAGAGTAAAAAACATAACTAAAAACTGAAAAAATGAAGAACTTGAATTTTTGAATAAAGAAAATTGTTTAAGTTTTGACTTTTTAATAAAATATTAAATTATAAAAATATTGTTATTTTTTAATAATATTTAATTATTAATATATATTATTTTTTCATAAATCACTTTTATTTGAAACTTTTGTCCCCACTTTTTATAACATTGTAAAAAAATAGATTTATTAATATATTAATTATCCTAAACCGTATATAAATGCCAATGGGCCAGGAACTACGAATGGACCCTGAAGAAGCAAGATATAGCCCACAAACACTCCCTAGAAACCTTATCTTCATTATCCCAGTTTTCTGCTTTGACTTTTTCTTGCAAATTGAAACTGTTCAGTCCAAAAAATTAATAATAATGAATAACCTGAGGCGAAGATTGAATCTAAACCCTAAACATCAAACATGAGCACGCTTAGCTCACTTGTCAATTCTCATTTTTAGATCAAAACACAAAAAGGGTTTAAGTTTATATTAATTAATTCCCACATGACATACAAAATAGATTTATGAGGATTAATTAATCCTGAAGAAACATATATACAACAAATGGAAGAAGATCAGTCTATTCAAAATAATAGAGAGAAGGCTCGTTACGATACTCGTTGCATTCAACAAGGTGGGACGGTCTATGCCCCATTCATGGACTTTCACATTCATGGCAAGTCGACTTATTTCTTAAGCCATAAGGACCCATATCCTGCCATCTCAACTCAACTGTAAACCGCCAATCATACGGAAGCAGTAACACTGCCAATAATATCATCAAAATCATGAAGCAAAGATCTATATTTCATAACTATTAACAAAATTTGTTCTCCAAGAACATGGGATTCTCTAATAAAAAAATTTTAATTATACATATGTGATCCTATACGCTTATCTGTTTAATGAAACCAAGACAAGTCTGCGAAGCCAAAATTAAGAACAGGGGAAGAAGTTCATCCCTCATATAATTTGCACGGAAAATCCTGTTTGGTATGCTCTGTCAAATTGAGGGTCATGAAACAATTCATCTCCGGATGCCTTCTCCTCTTCATAATATCCATAATACTCACTTTTCCGCTCAGTTTGACATGGCTGTTCAGCTCTAACAGTCCAGAACTTATATTACAGCTTAAGTTCTTCGTACCTGGTGTCCGAAGTGAGCTTACATCCACAGAAACATTCAACCTCTCTGTTGCCCTAGCTTGGGCTCTCCCTGTAGGTATTTTCATCTCTCCAACAACTACAGAACCACACCAAACAGTCCCGGTAGTGTTCTCAAACCTGAAATCTCCGAAATTGCTGTTCTCAACAGTAATCTCGGTTACAAGTGTAAGGTTAAAAGATGGAGCCGACGAATTGCCATACTTGAGATTTCTAACCGTGACTGATACGATCTCAACATCAGGAGTTCTGGCACGTAAAACAATACTCGCAAAGATTAACAAGACCGCCCCCTGTATGACCATTCCAAGAAGAACATAAACAAGACATTTACTGCTCTTTTCTTCTCGTTGTGACGCCGCCGGTTTAATCCCCCCAACCTCCATGTCGCTTCTAGGATAATACTCAACAGGTGCCAGTGGCTTGGCCTGGGGGTCTTCTTGCATGTTGTCTTGAATCAAAGGATAGTCTGGATTTTTTCTCTTGGGTCCTTCCTTGCAGGTTATACACATGCGGACAGTTTATATATATATGCAAGGCAGGGGACTCGAACAACCGCGTTGAATTAGTGTTTAAGTGCATGTATCAACCTTACTGGGTCAGTCTTGGTTTAGCGCCGGTCGTCATAGGGACATGAAAGCGAAACCGACATAAACAAATTTGTTAATTTCTTAACAGTGTTTTGGAGCAGTACAGATGTTACTTAGTCGTCTATAAATCATAAAAAATCTCCTAGTGTATTGGAGGTTCTTCCAATCTCGAAGGCTCGTTTGCTGAATTTGTATTGTAAAATAAAAGAAGAAAATGAAAAGGAAAAGACTGATGATTGTTCATGCTGAAGGGTTTGCAGTGAGTAATAAATCTTTTGGGTTGTCAAAACGTGTCCATGGCTATTAAAAGTCTCCATTATGACATATATTTAATGTTCCTTCAAGTTGATCGGTTTGAAACTTTACAGCCACTTCATTATGATTGTAGTAATGAGTTCGATTCAAGTTTCATGAAAAATCAAAAGTTTTTTTTAATTAGTGTATAGGATTGGAATTAACTTTCACCACATAAGTGTACTTCCTAGTTAGTCATCATGGTATAAATTGAAATTAATATTGATTTAAAATTCAAAAGTTATATTTTTTTAACTTTAATATGATGTAGAAAAGTGAAATTATGAATCATAAGCACAAAAGTATAAGAAAAGATAACAAAAGAGTCCACAACACTTTCCAGCCCTTGAAAGTACTCTTCTGCGAGTCATGATCTACTTTAAGGACAACAATGAACTCTTTATTGCATTGCACTGCATTGAGGAAAAGAGGAAAACCATACCCTCAAGCAAACTGATTTCCTTTTTGCACACACACACACATATATAAAAGCTTAGGCATTAATTAATTACAAAATGAAAAGTTTCAGACCAGAATAAAGCAACATTATTGAGCTTTGACACGCATGATAGGTTAACTATTTCATTAGCAGATAATATAACTTTGATTTAAAGTAAATTGGAAAATAAATTGTTAGTGGAAATTCAAACATAAATTTAAAATATGATTCATTAATATAAAATTAATATTAAACAACATTTTTTTATTACCTAAATATATTAAAATTTTGTGTCTATGAGAGAATTAGTCAAGCTAAGCTCTAACAAAGTTAACCCCAGGATTTTATTTTTAATATTTTAAAATCAATTTAACTTTGGAAAAAGTATATTGGTAGTTGTTTTGGGATGGGTTCAAGCCCAAAAATAATCCTTTCCCAAGATCATAGCAGATGGCGGGGTTGTAAGCCCAGGCTGACCTCCTTCGGATAGGCACGTCTGGATGAGAAGGTGCCATAGCCCGTATAAAATGTGGCTTCAGCCTTGGGCATGAAAATAGGTGTTATATATTAATCTGGGGCTTGACCCTGATGGTTCCCCCAACCTCTTATGGGGTAGAGTTCCGGCAGGGCCTGAGTAGAGTTCTTGCATATCCACTGACCAAGTAAAAAAGGTCTTGCGTAGCTTCTGCATAAATGGTGACGATGACATGAAAAAGAGAAACCGAAGAACTTCCTTCTCAAGTTTTTGAAATGAAGATCTAGCATTAAATGGATTAATGGTGATCAATAAACCCAGATTATTTGTTTATTTGTTCATTTATTTTGCCAACCCTGTAAAACACATGCACTTCAACTGCCACTTGCCAGCATCCTTATCTCTTTGATAGTAGTACATAGTAGTAACTTTCTAACTTTTTGGGTTTTATAATGATGTCTAAGCTATTGGATTTGGACCTACCATTAAAGGAATAAGTTGAGAAATTTCAATCAGATGATGTGCCAGATTTTAATTTGTTCAATTACTTGTAGAAGAGAGTTTGTGCAGTGTACAGCAAGCAGCACTTACTGTAATGGGGTCACATTCACAATCTTAAAACGTTAACTGTACCCTATAATAATTAATTAAATCAGGATTCTGAAGCTTTCAATCTGTCCTCTCCAGTTTGCATAATCTTTGGTAATTACTAGTAACAGAATTGATAGAGAGGAGAATCATACATAATAAAAGAAAATAAAAAACAATCTTATTAACACTCAAGGAAGCAAGAATCGAAACAGTAAACTTAAAATATAAAAATGGAACAAAATTAAAAAATAGTAATAAATAAATATGAGATCCCTGTGTAAGAATATGTATGTATGCACACAAAGGAGATCGTCGAGCATATATAATGGTACGAAGATCAGTGTATGCTTTCTGACATAGTAAAATAGGTATATATGTTATATATAAAAAAACCCCAAAACTCCTTTGAAACCAAAACCAGCTTTAATTATTGTTGTCATTTGCACTTTAGATCTTGGAGACTCCTTGTTGACAAATTCAATATGAGGGTGCAGTTCATCTCGGGGGATTTCTTCTTCTTCATCACTTTCATCAGCTCCACTTTTCCTTTCAACTTGGCCTTGCTGTTCAATGTCAGCACGCCGGAACTCAGTTCAGAGCCGAGTCCCGTGGTAGTGCTTGTAAGTGCGCTGGAGTTCACTTCCACAGTAACATCCAATTTTTTAGTCGAACGAGCCCTGGCCCTGGCCTTAGGTATAATTGCCTCCCCTACCATCACACCATCATACAGAAAGCTCATAGTAGCATTATCAAATTTGAAATGACCGAAATTGGTATTTTTTACCGTTACTTGGGCGATGAACCTGAGGTTAAATGAAGCAGCAGCTTCTGTGTTACTAGTATCCATTGTTTCAACGGTGACTTTCCCGATTCTCACCTTTGGGTTCTTAACGCGCATGACAGTCAGGGCAAAAATGAGGATGACAACAGTTTGGAACACTGCAAAGGCGGCAATATACACAGCGTATTTGATCCTCTTCTTTCTTTTCAGCTCTTCCGATTGCAAACTGACTGATTCTTCATCGCTTCTCGGGTGCCCGTTAGCTGGTGCTAGGGGATGCACTTGCTGGTCTTTCTCTGCCATTTAATCTCCTTTACTAGCTATAGGAAACTGAAAAGAAAAATATTCTCTTAATCACTTTTTCTTGACGTTTAAACTGAATTGAGGAAGTAGAGCAGGTTGTGGCATTGGTAGCAAAGCAAAGTTTGGTATATATAGTACTCAATGACAATTCGAGTAGTGTGGATGAACATAGAAATAATTCAAATATTCGCAGTAAAAACTGATGGTTAGACAGGTTCCTCGAAATGGGAACGAACGAAAGAGTTTGTCTTCTTTATTCAAGCATTAAACGCGTGCGACGGTAGACTTTTGAACATCCATTCTAGATGGTCTCGTGACTGCGCTAAATTTTGGTAAGCACTTCCTATCCTAAAGTTTGAGATTATAATATATAACAATAGAAGTTTCTATTCTATCCGTTAATTGGACTAAAATATCCTAGATCTTTTGCCTGGGCCTGGTCATTCTATATACTCTTTATCTTTTTTGTATGAGATGAAGTGCTATTTACTCTTGGCTATGCCCTTAATCAAGTCAATTTTTGTTTTCAAGCAGTCATTTTACTTATTAATAGAAAAGCTTAAACAGCATCACAATTCAAAAACAAAAAACCGAAGACAAAATGCCCTAAAGAAAATAAAACACATTACATTATATTATAAGACATTATATATTCTTTGTATATAAAATATAAGAGCTTGGGCATTCATACAGACCACAAATAATCACTAATGAAAGACATGACACTACATATATGTCATCACCAATATGCGCTGAACATGTTTGATCGATATTTTTACTAATACATCCATTAATTTTTATTTTATAAATCTGTTTATATTTGACTTCACCAATCATTTTTTACATGATATTAATATAAATAAAAACTTTCCACAAAATCCATAATACATTTCTAAACCGTAATTCCTTTTAATTTTAAAGTGAATTCGTAGCTAAAATATGTAATTAAGTCCTCTTTCTTGTTTACCTCTGTAACAAAGATGCAACACAAACATAAAAATTGGAATGAGTGAATGAATTATGTTTTCTGATCATTTCTATTAATGGTAATCCATATATTTATTTTTAGTT